GAAACTTGATACCATTCTGGGGCCATCAGCTCCAAAGTGGAGTGAACCTGCCCCAGGTGGTAAGAAGGTGACTTGTAGGAGTTGAGGGTACATCTAAACTTCTATATATGTGGGATTTACTGCATACATACTAGCACAGAAGCACACATAGGACTTATAAATAGTTTAATAAATTAACAGTGGAAGTATACTCAGAAATGCTTATTAGAATACATGACCAAAGTCTTCCCTGGAGGTCCAGTGGTTTGAACTCTGTGCTTCCACTTCAGGGGGCACAGATTTGATCCCTGGTCAAAGACTAGGATCCTGCAGATCCTGCATGCCATGGGGCACAGACAAAAAACAAAACAAAAAGACTACATGAGCAAAAACATTCAGAGACCCACTGACCTAAAAAGCAAGTTAACCAGGCAGTCAGACCCAACAGTTTGACAAGTTGTGGGTAAAGTATCATGATTAACTTAGCAGTGACTCCAGTGTGGTTTATATCCTCTGGACAAGTAAAACCATATTTGACATTAAGTTGGGTTTTGATCAGAAGCCTACACTCAAATTTATTAATTTTCAGTTATGTTTCTGCCATTACTTCTGTTTCAATGACCAGGAGCTGGCAAGCTTTCCTGAAAAGGGTCACACAGTCAATATTTTAAGCTCTGCAGGCCACATTATCTCTCACTGTGCAAGTCTGCCATTACAGCATAGCCTTAGATGATACATCAAATGATGGGCATGCCTGGATTCCAATAAGACTTTGTGAACACTGATATTTGAATATCAGGTATTTTTCACATGGTACAAAATATTCTGGGACTTCCCTGGTGATCCAGTAGTTAAGAATCCACCTGCCAATGCAGGGAACATGGGTTTGACCCCTGGTCCGGGAAGATTCCACATGCCAAGGGGCAATTAAGCCCGCAAGCCTAGAGCCCACGTTCCACAACAAGAGAAGCCACCACAGTGAGAAGCCTGCACACCCTCATGAAAAGTAACCACCACTCGCCACAACTAGAGAAAGCCCACGTGCAGCAATAAAGATTCAGTGCAGCCATAAGTAAATGTAAAACAAACAAAAAAACCAAAAAATGTATTTTTTCAAACATTTAAGAAAATAAAAACTATTCTTAGCTTCCAGGGTCATTCAAAAATAGGTGACAGTGGACTGGATAGACCCGTGGACCATGGTTTACCAATCCCTGTGTTAGACCTCAGAAGTTTGTTTCTTAAGACTGATCTGCAAACAGAATAATCCTATTTGCATAGCAATACCTCTGAACAGGAAACACACATGTAAAAACATAGACTGTGGAAATAGCTGAACAGAAATCCAATATTAAGGCAGAAATTTAGAAGATTCTATAACTTATCTTGATCTAGGACTAGAGATGAAAAAGTACATTCTAGGGACCTCATGTCTCTAAACAGTGGGCATCTTCACAGAACACTTGACTTTTTAACCGAGGGTTCATGAATGTCTCTATTTTCTACAAGTAATAATTTATTCTAGTTTGCCTTTCTCCAGTAATTCACATCCATCTTTGTGAGAATGAATCTTGCCTACAACTACAGATAAACAACAGAAGCTAGAGCATTTTTTGTGATACTCAAAAATTTACCCTCTCAAGTTCCCCAAGAAAGGATAGTGAAGAAACTGGCAAGAATGACTGCCTTGGAAAGGAGAATGAGGGCCCAGCGGGAGGAGCAGAGAGAATGCTCAGTGTGCGTTCTCATCTGCCTGTTGACTTGTCAGGTGCTGGTGTTACTTATTCAAGTAAACAACCAATCACAAACATAAAAATTAAGTATTCCAGTAATTCAGTGTTCACCTGGCCGTCTTACCTTTGCACGCTACCTGGTGGCGATTCCTAATGGGATGTAGTTTGGAACCGGCACTGTGGCACTCGCCTCTCCTAACCCAAAGATGCACTTGACTCCCAGAGTGGGCAGCTTTTGGAGGACGGAGCCAACTTGCTGAGAGTTGGGCTCTAAAAATAAACATTTTGCACATTTCTTTTAGCCTTCTTTCTCTCCATAAAGGCCTTCACAGATGGCTTCTTTACATCATGCTCTCAAATGACTAGCTGATAAATATTCATACTTATGGAAATCGTATTGTACATACTCCAAACCCCCTAGCCAGTTAACATTTGTATTTTCCATTATCTCAAGGGTGTTGCCCCCTTGTTCACGGACCTTGTCCTCTGTAAAACACACATGTGCGTGCAGACACACAGATCAGACACCAGCCTTGGCCTCTGGATGACCTACTTGCTTAGAGGCAGTTTTTCCCCTCAAGAGGCCATGTCTGGAGACATTTTGGGTTTTCACTATTGGCAGGGTGCAAGGTACGCAGTGTGTACGACTGGTATCTAGTGGGTAGATAACAAGGGTGCTGCTCAACACCATACAATGCACAGGACAGCCCCCACCTCTCCCTTCCCTCCACAAAGAATGGACTGGCCCAAAGGTCAATGGTGTGGAGGCCCAGGGGAACACCATGTGAAGCAGAAAGCAGACCTGGATTACCCATGAATCCCCGAAGGGGAATAAAGTCAAAGCAAACTGGAACCATTAACAGAAAAACTCAGTGAGGACGGTGGAGGCTCTCCATGAAGTCTGGCCTCTCATTTTTTCTTATTCAGATTAATACTCAATGTATTAAGGTTATACATTTAAGAACAGTTTTCTTTAAATCTTGATGCTAAATTTATAAATATTTTTGTGAGATTTCAGTTAAAATGTAAAACACTCCCTTTCACTTGTTCTTCAATTAATGCTCGATTATCTCATGGGTTTGGCAGGCTAAATTCCCCTAAACATAAACACCATTTACAAATTTGATTAAATTCCCTTAAGCATTTCAAGCTACAAATTGAACATGATTCTCTCAAGCATTTCAAAGCCCACAAAGAGGACTCGCAAACAAGCCAGACTGCAGACATTTTTTAAAATTTTTTTAAAAATCTTTGTCCATATCTAGAGAACGAGTGGCATGGACCCTTGGTCCAGACCACCTGCAGTCCCCCAACCTCTGTGCCCATCTCATCTATGAAGTGAGTGCCAGTTTTCACATGGCACAGAAGTGAATAGAGGCAGGGAGGCTTAAACACACACACACAGGACACAGAAATCTACTCACACACACACACACACAGAGGACACAGAGATCTACTCACACACACACAGAGGACACAGAGATCTACTAACACACACACACACAGAGAACACAGAGATCTACTAACACACACACACAGGACACATAGATCTACTAACACACACACACACGGGACAGAGATCTACTCACACACACACACAGGACACAGAGATCTACTCACACACACACACAGGACACAGAGAACTACTCACACACACAGAGATCTACTCACACACACACACAGGACACAGAGATCTACTAACACACACACACACACAGAGGACACAGAGATCTACTAACACACACACATGGGACACAGAGATCTACTAACACACACACACAGGACACAGAGATCTACTCACACACACACAGAGGACACAGAGATCTACTAACACACACACACGGGACACAGAGATCTACTAACACACACACACACACACACGGGACACAGAGATCTACTAACACACACACACAGAGGACACAGAGATCTACTCACACACACACACACACACACAGGACACAGATCTACTCACACACACACGGGACACAGAGATCTACTAACACACACATACATGGGACACAGAGATCTACTAACACACACACAAGAGGACACAGAGATCTACTCACACACACACACACACGGGACACAGAGATCTACTAACATGCACGCACACACACACACAGGACACAGAGATCTACTAACACACACACACAGAGGACACAGAGATCTAACACACACACACACATGACAGAGATCTACTCGCCATTTTGGGTGTCCTGTAGTATCTTCCCTCCTGTCCGTTCCCAAATTCTCTGGCTTCCTGAGCCCAGTGCAAGGATTTGACTGGATCTCTCAGCCAATCATTACTTCACCATCCCAGAGCCCCAGAGCTCACCACCCTCCACCTCTCTGTCCACTGCAGGATCCACAAAGCAGTCTGGTGCCAGTGGACAGTGGCTCACCTCCTCCCCGTTTTACCACACCTCCCATACCCAGCATTCCTGATGTTTCCTTCCTAGCTCCCATGACCACCGGAACCTTAACCTAATCGCTTATTTGTTGTCTCTGACATGAGAATAACTACCCATGAAGAATCCCTACCAACGAGAGCCATGCGACCCGATGCTAGACACATAGCAGTGGCTTATTAAATACTTAGTGAAGAAATATGAAATAAAGGCACCAATTCCACAAGACCTAGAAAGGCTTTTCATCTGAGAGCTAGCAGAGGACTGAGGACTATGGGAAGCACCCAGTGACTGGCACACACTAAGCTGTCTGCAGTAGTTTCCGTTTTAGTTTTCATCAGCAGAGGTCCAATCTCAGACTCACGGATTGGATGGCTGTGCAGCAGCAGGAATGAATTTTCAATTGCAAGCCTCATACCCCCAAGTTCTCCAACACTGCGGCACCTTGCAGAGGACACCCGTGACCCGAGCCCCCCGGCCAGGGCACCCAGTGCAAACTCACTGAAGCTCTACAGTGGCGCAGCCATTTTTTTTGCTCTAACAAGCGCTGGGTTGCTTTTTATCCTTACCGTAAGAAGTCTTCTAGAATTCTTTTTAAATATAAAGCCAATAAAAAGTCCAAGCCCCCAATTCAAAGTAGCTCTCTAGGTCAGTGTGGTGAGCTGTGCCCTGACACAGCTCGAACAGGTACTCAAGAGCCCAGTCAAATAAAACACACAGACAAAAGCAACATATTAGCCAGTTTAATTTATTTAAGAATCTTACAAAAAAAGAAAAAAAAGAGAAACAAAAATCAGAAAACACAACAACAAAAAACTAAATACAGAATTTTGTTATGCTTCATGGTTGATGGTTTTTACTTGCAAGGGTATAAACCTCGCTAAATGCAGCCAATACATTTTTTTATTGCATGAGACCCAATTTTTTTTTTTAAGTTACAAATCAAAACAGAACAATTGTTTCTGGACACTTGGTACTGTATCACCACGGAAGGCTGAAGAAGCAGTGCAGTATCATCAGAACAGTGCGTACCCGCCATACACTGACAGACATTCAAAACAGAGTAGCAATATAAAAAGAGAGATTGTAAAAAAGAACACAACAAAAACAACCAAAAGAGTTTTACATCCACCTTTGTTTCAAATTGTCTTTGGATTCCATCACATGTTGTCTCAAGATGCACCATGTCAGATTAGTAAAGGAGGAAGATCTATGCCTAAGTACAAAAGTATCCTTTGCTCAGTGGGAGGTAGAACCTGGCAAAAGTTTTATTGCAGAGATACAGCGTACCTCTTCCCACCTCTCATGGTTGATGGTAGATAAAGTGGTTATTGAAAAATAATATCAGTAGTTTGCAAATTCAGTATAAACCATGAGCAGGATGATTTTTTTTTTCCCGATGGCGGCAAGACTGCAATGTGCTACGTAGAAAACAGAAGCTATCTGCCCCGTAAAGTGGAAGTCAGAAAGAAGGCTCAAGCTTCTTTATCCTCTTCAGTGCCACAAATACTGTCATAGCAAGAAAGGCCCTCAGGACAGGGTGATGGGTGGAAAAGCCAGGGGGTTCTCACTAAGGAGCCTGCGGACTGACCCTCAGCCCCAGGAGGCTTGACCTGCAAGAATGGAAGACAACCTACGTCCCAGGTGGCGCCGCTCGCTCGACTCTGCACTACAAGGGTATGGCCTTAGCCTGACTGCTGCTGCTGCAAACCACGTGGTTCAACTGCCTCCTGGGCATCAGAGAAGGAAAGCCTCTGACAGAGGAGCTCACCTCTGACAGGCCCTCTTTCAAGACACACCAAGTTCCTAAGACTCACCTAAATACAGACAACTTCTAAATGTCTACCAAGCTCAGAGCAATGAATGAAACGTGTGCATGAATGAAAGGCCCAAGAAACGCTCATGGTGTCTTTGCTGGAAGTTATGGAGGAATTTCTTCTTAAAAGTGCAAAATCTGTAGGTAGAAACACAGTATTTGCCTGTTACCACAGTGGTGGTAATGATTACCACCACTCTGTGAGCCACTCCTGGGTGGGCCCTCCTGGCAACACTAATCCAATCGTTAAGAGTGCCTCCAGCCCTCTCAGCTCCTAGGTTTACAGCCAATCTAGTCAAGATCAACTCAGCAGCTTGCTGATGGTGGGACAGCTCAAGGGATCCCACCAGCCTGTCCCCTCCACAGTTAACACACAGCATCAGCCCTTGAGCTGAAGGCTCACGGGAGCCTGTACAAGCAGTTGTGCTGCTCTACTCAGGAGGACAACTGTCCCTGCTAGTATGGACACCAGCCCGTACCAGACCTGTCTCCGCTCCTTAACTGGTGGGACAGAAGCAGATCGCCATGCTCACTGGAAAGTAAGTTTCTGATTATTATTTGAAGGATTAAAGAACAGACTAAACTTCTTTAAGAAACAGAAAATTTGCAGCAGCAGCAGCCCATACATCACTGTTCAGATCTAGAAGATTTCCCTCTCGGCTGGAAAGCCACAAGGATGAAGGATGTGATGCAGGCCTGAAAAGTTGCAAGGGTAGAAACAAGTCAGGTTTACTGAAGAGTTGAGTTTGATCCCAAATGCACTGAAGAAGTTAGAGGAGCTTAAAGAAGTCTTGGGAAGAAATTTTTTCAGATGAAAACAGGCTCACTATAGCTTCCAAAGAGCAACATAAATGAGCATAACTAGTCATATAATGACAGTATCAGAAATTGCACTCAAGTACATTCCCCCAATACAATGAATTGCACACAGTAAAAAAATATGTAATAAAAATGCAAAACACAATCAGGCATGTTGAAAAATATTAACACAAAACAGACACAGGAATTCTATAGTAAAGATGCAAAACTGAATTCTAAAATACAAGAATAAATTCAACTAAAGTTTTTCAGCAAAACTTTTCTACAGCAAAAAAAAGAAAAAAAAATTATAAGAAGCCCCCTATGGGAAACCAAGAAAAGAATAAATAGAATTGGATGAGGGAAAAGAGACAAACAAGTGGGTGGGGTCCCAATTTACAAGAAATATTTACATTCAGAATTCAAAAGAACTCAACATTTCTATATATACACATTATGTACATATATATAAGTACAGCGTAAGATTAGAAGGTGGGTTTTGGATTTTACCTCAAGTACTCAGAAAAAAATTACTAGCTAGCTAGAGTTGCAGGTATCTAAATGTGTTTCCTTCACTTATATGCCCTTAAAACACACTGCCTTGTATTAGACAACTGGCATCCAACAAGGACTTTCTACAAATGGTTTTTGCTCGCAGCTGTAGCCACAACATGGACCGCCTGCTGCATATTCCAGCAAGGCATGCACAGTGCATGCACCTGGGTGCGGTGTTAGCCAAGGAGACCTCAGATATAGGAAGGATAGTCAACCAATGCCCACTGCCACTGGGATGCCTGCATTCCCCAAACATCTGTCAACCGGGTACCAGTTTCACAGAGACTCTTTATGTAGCACCATTCGTAGAAACTGTCGAATGTCGTTGGGGTACATTTTTTAAGAGAGTACTTGGGTAGGGACTTTCCTCTTAACGTCTAATCAAGAAAAGGACCCAAGGGAAAAACACTTTTCCTCTGTTCCTACTTTCATCAAATGAGATGCATCAATCATTTCAAATCTATTGCTTTTCTTCCCCCTCCTTGGAAAGTGGAGGGGAATGAGGGAAAGGTTCCCGTTATACAACTCTAAGTGCTGTCCTGGTACCCTTGCTTGTCATCCCTGTTAGAAGTTGTTCTGATAGCATCACATGGAGATTAGCAAATGAATGCCCCAGGGGGTACAGCCAGAAAATTCTGCCTCTAAAATATTAATATTTCCCTGGAGTTTGGTAATCTAGAACTTTTACCTTTACAGATAAAGAAGCAAGATAAAACTAAAAGGTTTTACTGTTGCAACTCAAAAAGGTTTCTGAAGTGCTAACTGGATTGGAATAAATACATATATACATACACACACACACACACATTCCCACATTGCTTTGGATGCAGGTTCTTGCTAAACTTATATACAGATGTGAAGAAAAGACACTGAAGAGTTGTATCGGCAATTTAGCAGCAGAAAGGGAAAACTGCTTAAGATATTTACTTTTTCATCAAGTTGTGTTTAAAAATACCTTATTAATACTTTTAGGAATTTGTATCATCGATATGTATCTGGATAAACCCACTAAACTGCAGCTAGAGACCTTGTGGTATGGAGGATGCTAGATCAGGGGAACACTAACCTCCCCCAATACCATCTGAGCAGCTCTGGACTGGGAAAGTGGTTTTCAGCACAATCGGTACTGTAAACTCTGAAAACACGAACATGATTCATAATCAGATTTTTGTGCTCAGAGCCATATTGCTAAAAAGGGAGAAAAGGCATTACAGAGGCCAAATGGACTCACATACGGTTCAACAAGGTCCTTGGGTTCAGACGTGGCATTCAGATCCTGAAATACAAGACCTGTTTTACCAAAGTTAGCTCTCGTTTGAGACTTGATTTTTTTTTGACAGAGGAGGACACTGAATGCTGGGTTTCCCCATGTTGACCAACCTGAAACTTGCTGACTTGGATAAGGGCACAGTGCAAAGGTTGTATGTTCACCTCCAGAGAGGAGCATGGGCAGAGCCTAACAAGGGCTCCGAGGGCTCACGTGCACACTGCACCACCATAAGCGTGGGCAGCCGGCACCTCAGCTCCCCATCCATTTACACAGCTGCCTTTCCGAGGTCTACTCAGAGTTTTCACAGGACTTATTTCTGGACCTTTTTAAAAATGCAAAACAAAGCTGTTCTACAAAGAACAGGACATACACATCCCCTCTGTAACAAGATAGCTATTCCAAGAGCAAGCATTACATTGTGAATTGTGAGGGTCAACTAATTTCTTATTAAAGAATCCTGATACTGAAGCTGCTTGGAAAAAACCATAACTTGCTTTAAAAAAAAAAAAAAAAAAAAAAAGGTGCCCGCACACACAAAAAAAGCAAAGCTGAGCCAAGCCTACGAGAGACAGTCTCTCTTCCACAACCCTGCCATTCTGTCTCACTGGAGGGAGCAGGATGGTTAGGCTTCCTCTCCACAGCTCTATCTTCCTTGGGGTGCTGATGAAAACCGACTAGGCTCCTGATTTAAAAACAGAACTAACTGGGAAGTTTTGGTGCAGGTGGACAACTCTGCTCTTGGCTGCCAGCTGGGTCTAGTGGCCCTAACAAGGGACACTGGTTGATATTCACGGATCACTGCCTGAGATATAAGGATAGACTGAGGATAAAAGTTGCATCCACTGGGCAAAATATGCCGAAGAACCGAAATTATTCTCAATTTGTTCTTTTAGGCTTCAAGAATAAATAAATTCAAAGAAAGAAAACTTGTGGTGAACGTGACCTAACTAAACTCAGGCTTGTAGAAACACAAGACAATGACAGCTCTAGCTTACCCATCACTGAACATACATCTCACCAGATCCTGCAAGAAGTTTAGAAAGGAACAAAGGAGAACAGTTCAACTTGCAAAACATTTGAAAGCACTATTATTTCACCCCTTCCTCAATACCACTTTGATTTTGTGGGGTGGGTTTGAAGTCAAAATCTAAGGCTACCTGGAATGTTGAGCAACACGCCGAGTTCTGCAGCGTTTCCATCACAGGCTACTTCTGCAGGTGGTGAGGGCCTAAACAAGAATCCACTTCGGGTTAGTATAATAACTTTTTATTTGACATCTACAAGATTGTGGTATCTTGCAGCTTTTGACCAGGTTTATACAATCTCAGTTTCTCAATAGTGCAACCTGTGCAAGCAAAAAAAGGGGGGAAAAAAAAAGGAAACAAAAAGACCAATTGTCCCCTCACTTGTTTTTATAAACATCTATTATAGGCGAAACAAAACTTACCCATATTATAGATAAGTGTCTATTCACATTTGTACATTACCATTTTTAACAGCTTGAGATAAACTCTACAATGTCTTACAACACGTTAAACAATATTCAAGTTACTGGGTAACAACAATAACAACAAGAAATAAACATACAGCAGAAGCCTCAAGTGTTTCCTCATTGTCTAGTTTACAACTCAAGTACAAAGTTTTCATTTTTAAGAGTGACAAAGCAAACTAAGGTAATGAAGTTAAAAAAAAAAAAGATTGTTTGCAAGACAGAAGCCAATCTGTACTCCTTTCTACAACTATCTTTAAGAAAGATGTAATTTTAAGAAAAGCAGGCTTGTAGCCTTTTTTGCAGCACACATTAGGAATGCTATTAATACATTAAAATTAACTTTTTAAGAGTTTTATCACCAAAAAAATGTGTGTACTCATTACCTTGACAAGAAACCTGGGGCAGGGAGAATGGGAGGACAAGATTTTGCAGGGTTTGAAGCAATACCCAGGTATAAACACTACAAAAATGCAATAACCAATGCTGTACATCTACAAATGTTTCGCTCTGTTACTTGACTTCTGTGTTAATCTTGTTTACGCATGCTTTCAAAGACATGCACTGTCAGAACAAAAACTAGAAAAGAACCTGAATGCATGATATGCAACCTTTCATTTCATGCTTTAATAAACCTATTGTTTTAATAAGTTGGAAAAAGAAACCAATATATATTTTCTCTATTTATAGACTCAAAACACATGCATCCGGGGATAAGTCCCACAGCAATGGCATGGATGTACTGCGTTAACCCTGAGCACTGTATAACATAAAAGTAAAGCCAGTTTGGGAAGTTCCAAGCATTTTTAAACCAATTATGGTTCGCAGCTTTTAACAAACTCACAAACAAACAAACAGACTGACACACATACGCACATACCCCTCTGCTCACCCAAAGTAAAAGCATACGGTAAGTACCATGGGAAAAGCACACGGAAAGACAGATGTACCACTGTCGGCACTGCTGATTTTCAGTTTTGCTATCTATTCCAGGTTTGTCCTTATTCCCAAGAAAATTAACTAGAGAGAGCACAACTGAAAAAAAAAAATTATAATTCTTTGGAAACTGTCCCTGATTTTTATGCAAATGATATGCTTCAACAGCATTTCAGATACATCCATGTTGAAACCTGTCTGTTCTTATGTGCTGCTCAAGCTGGCGATGCTCTGGGGGTGACGCTGCTGCCAGAGCTGTTTCTGCTGGACTGCAAGCTGTTGAGACTGGTCTGAAGTTGAAAGGAGATTTATAAGAGGAGACACACAATTTGCAGGAATAATCAAACCTGCAAGGAGAAAACAATTTATAAAGGCTGCACCCAGGAGAACTCATACTGTATTTTACAGCTTCACAGCAAATCCCAAATGATGTTATAATATTAAGTTAATGAACAAGATTTCATACACAAACTAAATGAATACTAAATAACTGAACTGGCCCCTTCAGAAGTGGCCTGATCCCTCAGCAGTATTACCCACAAATGCCTGAACACATTCATGTGTCTAGGGCAACACCACCTACCTGCTTGAGCAGGAGAAAGCCAGATACAGGATCTTCCTAGCCACTACCTTTGCAGTCTAGAAATGCATGGAAGCATCACCTTCTTTGGTATGTACTAATGTACCAGAGAGACTCCAGCAAGTGTCTACAAATTCAAATGCACAATGAAACACTAACTGTTAAGTGGGAGTGTGTGGAAGTCAACAAACTGGACTGTGTATTATATCCTGCATCAGGGGACCTGAACTTCTCTCATGTGGGAACAGGGGCTCAATGCTCCAAGCTTCTCTGCAGTGTGTTTTTTTTTTTTTAAAGAAGATAGGAAAAAAAAAAAAGATAGAAATCCATTCTTTTGATTTTTAAAAGGTGGCAACTAATTCAACTGAAATCTGACAACCAAAAATACCTGATGATCAAAAGAATGCTCATGGACTGACTCTGGCCCGCAGGCAATCCATGATACAGAGAAAGGTTGTTGCAAAAGAAACGAAGAGCACGTGACAAGGCAAGTACAGTAACTGGGTTGACTGCTGGGAAGTGAAGCCTGTCACTGAGGGACTGGTGGGAGCGGCCAGCCTGTCCCCCTTGCTCCCTGCATGACTTCAGTCCAGCCTCTGTGCACAGTGGCTTTGAGTTCCATAGTCTCACATGGCCCGAATATAAAGAGACAGACGTCAGAGAATCCTTCGTCTTCATACCAGACGGCCTGCACAGAGGTCAACAGGGAGGGAAGGAGGGAGCAAGAGCACTGCAGGCAGCGCAGAAGCACATCAGAACCTCAGCCACAACCAACTACAGACATCCAAAAGCTCAACTTCCGTTCATCCTTTTAAGAACAAAGGAAACTTTACCCCACCAGTGGAATAGACATTCTAAGATGTTATGAAGGAAAATAAAAAAAAACAAGGATCTGATTTTCTTTATTCTCACAGCTCGAAACAAAGGAATAAAAAAAAAAGACTCACCTACAATCCGTTGTCCATCCTCTGTTCTTAGGCGAACTATCTGCATTTTCACATTTGTGCCACTGACAGACGCAAGAACACCCTCAACTTTTGTCCAGACACTCAGTACTGAGCCACATAATACATAGTATGTGCGGCAACGAAGACCTATTTCACAAACTAATCCCAAGCTTGCTTTTTTGCAGTTGCCACGCCTAGGACAGATTTAAAAAAAAAAAAAAAAAAAAAATATATATATATATATATATATGAACATGGACACACACCAGGCTCACACCTACTGAATTTCAAATGGAAACTGCCCTATCATTTACCTTAAGTGAGTTTCAGAGCCTGCAATTCTTTTCACATACTGGATTATCCTAATTTAAGGTATCACTACTGATTTTAAAATTACAGTTATTTCTTGGGTCTGGCTCCCTATAAAAGGGCTGATGTATTGGTTCTGATAGCCATTTTGCATGTGTCATTTTAATATGTTTGTTTACTGGATTAATGCCAGTTTATAAGATTATTCTGCCAGTCATTCCTACAGTATTAAAGGACAAATATATGGCTCTAAATCAGGTAAGTGAAAAAGGCAAAAACAAACAAAATCTTGCTTATATCACAGCAAAGCTATCTACTTACATGTGTCTAAATAAAAACCTGGCTAAAACTCATCTATATCCTGAGTCCCTTTTCATAAAGTGGGCCAGGATATTCCATTCTCAATGCCCCGAAATGAACATAATGACTTGACAACACCTCTGGCTAGCCTAGCAGCACAGCAGGATCGGTTCCAGGGCTCAACAGTCAAGTTTTCTACTGTTGTTAGCTACCTGAGGCATCTTTGTGGTTTCCTAGATGTTACTTAGCCTTAAAAATAAAACTGACTTGAGACACCAACAGAACTTTGGTGGGGGGATGGGGGGGAAGTAAAAAAAAAAAGGAAGGAAGGAAACGAAGAGAGAAGCAGAAAGAAAAAGCTAAGTCTCAACCCCAAGCATGATAATTAAGTCCCTGTAGGCAGATGACAGTCAGTCGGAAGTAAGGAAGCATCCATAAACAGCAAAGGGGAGATGTAAACAGTGTGTGGTCAGAGACTTCCACTATGTACCTCTGCCTAGAAAAACAACAACAAGCAACTGATAACTGCCCATGTACTTACAGGGACAGACTGCCAAAGAGTAAAGAGATATTTAAATTAAATCTTGACAAATGGAATAAATGGTGAGAAAAACAAAAATACTAACCAATAAGCATGAGTACAAGTATCTGCAGATGAATTATACTGATCTAACCAGTGGACCAGGGCATCGTCGGAGACTACCTGTGAAAAGAAGATGAAAATTCCACTGAAACACACACTGCTTGCCTAATTTGATCTCTGAAGTCAATTTAAAATCATCTTTGCATAGAGAACCTGGCCCTTGCTACTGCTTGCATCTGAATGCTAATGCTCTCCCATGAGGGCTTCCCTATGTAATGAATATTTCAAATAGCTAACAATTACAAACTGTTTTCAAGTGGAAAATGGCTAGGAATAACAGTAATATAAGGTAATGCTAACAACAAAATTATTACATACTAAAGTTAGAAACAACGGGCATTCACTGTTTTTCTAGAAATCACTCCAAAATGTAAACACAGCAGTTCACAATAAAAGCAAGAGTTGGTGGGAAGGTATTTTAGTCTTGTACATCTTCCTTTCATTTAAAAAATTCTAATTTTTGTAGTCAGCACTGTTAAAGCTTCCTTTTCTGACAACATAAGCTGCTTCAAATAATCATAATTTTCCTAATAGTTGATAACATTAAGACTGGGATATTAATTTAACAAAACTTTTTTAAAAGTTAAAAACTTTTCCTGAAAACCATATTCCAGCAATCAAATAGGAAAAACTGACAAAAAAATTTCACATATAAACCCTCTTTCAATACATTATGAAAAGGTATTCCTATATAACATCATGGACAAATGGAAAAATACCTTCTTGTATTTCTTTTTTAGATCAGCATAAATTTCTAATTTGAGCTGTTTCCCGGTATTTGGTCTATAAACTAAGAAAAGCTTCTTCTTAGGGTTCACTTCTTTAACTAAGATGGCAGTTTTCTTGTTGTTTCTTATCTATTAAAAAAAATGGTGAGAAAATATATAGTCAACATTGTACATTTTAAGACAGGCTTGCTTTTTGTACCATCACATCAGCAAATCTTATCCTTTGAAAGATTATAATGCCAAAGTGAAAGAAAGTGAAAGTGAAGTCACTCAGTTGTGTCCGACTCTTTGCGACCCCATGGACTGTAGCCTACCAGGTTCCTCCGTTGATGGGATTTTCCAGGTAAGAGTCCTGGAGTGGGCTGCCATTTCCTTCTCCAGGGGATCTTCCCAACCCAGGGGTCAAACCCGGGTCTCCTGCATTGCAGACAGACGCTTTACCCTCTGAGCCACTAGGTAAGCCTATAATGCCAAAAGTGTAGGTAAATACAGAACTGTGAAGAAAGGATAACGCTGCTGTGTAATCGAGTTAAACAAGGTGAAGGCCTTAACTTTGAGGCAGGCTGAAGGTCAAGATATTTTTTAGAAAATTGTGTTGAATAAGACTTAAAGCACAATGTCCAATGGAGAAAAATTTGCTTCTTCTAATCTATGACACTGGACTCACAGCCTAGAGAGGCTCAGAGATGTGACAGAGGAATCTAAGTAGTGGGCAGGAAGGTCTTCATGGGAAATGATTCTAAGGTATGTCACTCTCCTTCAAGTTACAATGAAATAAAACCTTCAAAAAATAATTTTGATCATTCACAGTCCTCTGAATTCATCTAATCCACCAGTGCTACAATTTTAAGCCTATAGTTTTTGAGAGTGAAATACCACATGAAATATCACAAACTGATCTGTAGACAGTAATGCTGTAATAGGAGAAAGCCAAATGTTGAACAAATAATACACAATATGATGCAGAAGTGGAAGAAAAGGATGCATTAGACAAACAATGGAACTTGGTGTTTCTGGTTGTTTTTTTTTTTTTAATTTTTAAAAGTTGGACTTTATGAGAGAAATCCTAAGACAAAGGAGTTCTAAAAAGCACCATTTAATTCAAGGAAAAATAAGGCTGGGAAATTAGTATCTGTTCTAAATAATGGTGAACAATTTCAAAGCAAGAGTCTCTGGAGCCAAACTGAAGGAAAAGGAAAAGTTTGAAAGAGATCTTCCCAACTCTTCTACAGGGCTTCCCTGCTGGCTCAGACTACAAAGACTCTACCTGCAATGCAGGAAACCCATGTTTGATCCTGAGGTAGGGAAGATCCTCTGGAAAAGGGAATGTCAGCCCACTCTGCTGTTCCTGCCTGGAGAATTTCATAGACAGAGGAGCCTGGCGGGTTATAGTCCATTGGGACACAGTTGAGCAACTAACACTTCCTTTTCTACAAAATAGTTTGCTAAGCTACTAACTTTTTATATTAAGATAATTCTTAAATGGATAAAACGACTCAGTATTTTACCTTTCGTGGATATTAAAGATCCTTCGTCTTTTACTTGTTCACATGATTTTAAACACTTTATATAATTACTGCGAAGTCTATGAAACATTAGTTGAGTGAAAAGTACATTTAAAAATCTTTTACCAGCTGATGTGCAATACTCCAGTTATACTTCAGATGATTAAAGCATGTAACAATGTGATCTAATGTGATCTATCTATCTATCTATCAGTGTTAATTATTATAGTTATAAAATAAGTATCACACTACAGAGGAATTGAAAGTGATTTTGTGGACTTCTCTGGTGGTACAGTGGATAGGAATCTGCCTGCCAATGCAGGAGACGTGGGTTCTATCCTTGGTCCGGGAAGATCCCGTATGCTGAGGAACAACTAGGTCCTTCCACCAAATCTACTGCTTCAATGTCTAGAACCTCTGCTCCTCAACGAAGAGTATCCCCCGTTTGCTACAACCAGAGAAAGTCCACAAGCAGCAATGAAGACCCAGCAAAGCCAAAAATAAATTTAAAAAAATTATTTTTAAAATTTTGTAAATGATTCTGACATGGCTTTCTTAATGTCAACACACATTAAACAAACTGTAAGTCATATGTGCTTACTGCTGAGGAGGTTCACAGAAATAGGCTATGCCTTCCTGGAAGATGCCTCCTCTTAACTTTCTGGCTGCACCTCAGTGTGCACGATCTTAGGTACCCTGACTAGGGATGGAACCCGCGCCCCCTGCACTGGAAATGTGGAATCTCAACCACTGACCACCAGGGAAATCTCAGATGTCTCTTTGAAGGCCCTCACTCCTCACATCCAGCTGTTTGCGCCCATACAGACAGTAACAAAGGGCAACATTACCACATCCTTTCACTCCAGGGAAACTGGTAAGGATCAGCATTTTCAACAAAATCTACCAGTGCTTCAGTTCTGGCAATAATTTCAAATGAAAGACAATAACCAATATCCTATAGGGACCAATCAAAACCCTATCCAAGGCCTTAGAGAAATCTGAATAAAATCTGGTGAACTGTATCAATAGTTTCATTGTGATATTGTACTATAGTTGTATAAAATGCTACCACTGGAAAAACTCATGTATAAGAAATTCCTATGTATTACTCCCTATAACCCCCCGAAGATTATAAGATTTACACACACCCCTCCCTCCCCACCCCCCAGAACCAGATCCAGTTTGAGAGCTTTGCTACTCATAAACCAGGCTTATGGACAAAATCTAGCCTGATCTTATGCTTAAGAACAGTTTAAGGGAGGGAGGGAGGAAGTATCTTAGAAAGGAAGGAAAAAAAATTCACAAAGAAGAGTCAGCAGAGATCACACATGCCCTGCAAGATCAACGATACTATCTGACCCCTCTCATAAACAGTTTAGGATTCATGCTCTAGACAGCTTATTTATGGTTTCACCCTGCCTGTGGCATCATAATTGGTCTCCTTTACACAGTTACTTCTTGAACCAGGTCTTCATTTACAGTTTGTCATTCCATAAGTGTTTGCAAGTAAGCAAAAAGTGCTATATACATACAATGGAGTTCCGTTCGGTCACACAGTTGTGTCTGACTCTTTGCAACCCCATGAACCACAGCACACCAGGCATCCCTGTCCATCACCAACTCCCGGAGTCCACCCAAACCCATGCCCATTGAGTCGGTGATGCCATCCAACCATCTCATCCTCTGTCGTCCCCTTCTCCTCTTGCCCTCAATCCTTCCCAGCATCAGGGTCTATTCCAGTGAGTCAGCTCTTCGAATCAGGTAGCCAAAGTATTGGAGTTTCAGCTTCAACATCAGTCCTCCCAATGAACACCCAGGACTGATCTCCTTTACGATGGACTGGTTGGATCTCCTTTCAGTCCAAGGGACTCTCAAGAGTCTTCTCCAACACCACAGTTCAAAAGCATCAATTCTTCTGCACTCAGCTTTCTTTATAGTCTAACCCTACTTATTTAACTTATATGTAGAGTACATCAGGAGAAACGCTGGGCTGGAGGAAGCACAAGCTGGAATCAAGATTGCCTGGAGAAATATCAATAATCTCAGATATGCAGATAACACCCCTCTTATGGCAGAAAGTGAAGAAGAACTAAAGAGCCTCTTGAGGAAAGTGAAAGAGGAGAGTGAAAAAGTTGGCTTAAAGCTCAACATTCAGAAAAGTAAGATCATGGCATCTGGTCCCATCACTTCATGGCAAATAGAAAGGGAAACAGTGGCTGACGTTATTTTTCTGGGCTCCAAAATCACTGCAGATGGTGACTGCAGCCATGAAATTAAAAGACACTTACTCCTTGGAAGGAAAGTTATGACCAACCTAGACAGCATATTAAAAAGCAGAGACATTACTTTGCAACAAAGGTCTGTGTAGTCAAGGCTATGGTTTTTCCAGTGGTCATGTACGGATGTGAGAGCTGGACTATAAAGAAAGCTGAGCACTGAAGAATTGATGCTTTTGAACTGTGGTATTGGAGAAGACTCACAAAAAGGAATAAAACACTGACACAGGTTAAAACATGGATGAACCCTGAAAACAATATGCTGAGTAAAAGAAGCCATACACAAATGTCATATATTGCATGAGTCCATTTATATGAGGTACCAAGATATGCAAATTTTTTAAGATATGCAAATTTATAGACAGAAAAGAGATGAGAGGTTATCAGAGGCTGGGGGAGTTGTGTAAGGGTGATGGCTGGACAGCACTGTGAATATAATCAATGCCACTAAATCGTACACTTTAAAATGGATAAAATGGCAAGTTTGTTATATATTTCACCCTAACTTTATTTATTTATTTTTTTTTTTTTTCACTCTGAAACCATTTTACTTTATTATATTAAGGGAAAATTTAGAAGTGCAATTTAGAAGCAATGTAGATGCCAAAATGTGACTTTTAACTATTTTTGGCAGAATTTGTCTCTCTGAATTCTTCTGATCCTAGAAAATACTTTTAGGGGAAGAGTAATGGATAAAAATAAATAAAATACATCTTATTCATGTACCTGTAGACAAAATTGGACAGGAAAAAGAAAGAACGCTATGACCTATGCAAATACGTATCGTGAAATTATTCCTGAATGTGAGGATTGGAAGACTTTGCAGGCCTGAAATATATTTGTAAGGAAAACTTTGTAAAAGGGAAAAAAGCATTCCTCTACTTGGAATGGGTAAGCTATAGTCTGATTGTGATGCCAGAGAATTTAGTTGAACATAACACTGAGGCTTCTTTCATGGCCCACTGATTTAGATAATGATGGCAGTAAAAAATATGTTAGTGAAGACCATTTAATACTGCAGAAGGGTAATAAGCAGATCTGGGCAGGAATGCACATAGATGTTAATCTAAATACATTTTTAAAAAACATGGTTTTCTAATAAACTGACAGGACATGAACAGCTCATTCACTTGATAGTCATCTGATATAAAGGCATTGTTATATAACTTTAAAATACACTTAAAAGTTAGGCTTGTGTTTTCTATGTACAGTAGATAAAAGTTTTATTAGACTGCAGAATGTTGTTTCATGGAAATTAAGATAAACATGTTTCACACAAGACATTTTGCCATGAAGTGAAGTGAAGTTGCTCAGTCGTGTCCGACTCTTTGCGACCCCATGGACTGTAGCCTACTAGGCTCCTCGGTCCATGGGATTTTCCAGGCAAGAGTACTGGAGTGGGTTGCCATTTCCTTCTCCCACCCTAACTTTAAAAAATTCTGTAATATGCCAGAAATCATTAAATTATACACTTAAGTAAGTGAACTGTACAATATGTGAATTATATCTCAATAAAGCTGTTAGAGAAAAAGAAATAAAGATTAAGAAGAATTCAAGAGAAAATAAACATTAAAGGCAAGTAAAGATCTAATGTGTGGATAAGAGGAGACCTAGTAATGGAGAAATTCAAGGAAGAAAATACTAAAAACTTTACAAATAAAAATAATTCAAAAACTTTCTAAAATAAAGATCTGAAACTATATATTAAAAGAGCATACCAACTACCTCAGAATACTGACCAAGAATGACTAATACAAGATAAACTCTAATAAAATTACCAAACTTTAAAGAATCCTTCGTACATACAGGCACAAAAGAACAATTAAATATAAAATGGAAAGGAAATTAGAACATCATCAAACTCTGACAGCAACTCTATCTGAGAAGAGTAAATAGTAGCATCTTTTAAGATATTCAAGAAAAGAAAATGTGAAATGATAAGACTTCATGTCTGGTAAAACTGTCATCACCTATAGAACTAAGATTAATTAAGGGTTAAAAGAAGAGTATACTATATCATTGTCAGATGCTGACATGCAGAAATAGTGTATTTTTTAAATAGAATGGGGTAAGTATATGCAAACAAGTTATTTTAAAAAAGTAGTTTCAGGAATATTGGGGTAGAGTGTCCATAATATTTTATCATTCTTTGTGCCCTGAAGAACAAGGATTATTGGTGTGGAAGAAAGAAGACCAAAGTATCAGAGAAGAGGTGAAACTAAAATTCCATAGTTTTAATCAGGATAAATAAATATGCACTCATCTGTGTACATGTGTATGTCTAAATGTAAATATGTATACACACACTCTCGCTCCCCTTAGCTCTGTCCACATGCAAATACTAAACTAATGATAGTAGTTACATTATTAACTGAAAACTGAATCTTGAAGACATAGAGCATTATTTTGACTAAAGGTCACTCACTATATTATGGGGGAAAAGTTCCATTTACTAAGAATATGCAATTCTTTTTGGCCATGCTGAGTGGTAAGGAGAATCTCAGTTTCTTGACCAAGGATAGAACCCATGCCCCCTGCAGTGGAAACATGGAGTCTTAACCACTGGACTGCCAGGGAAGTCCTCGAATATGTAATAATTTAAAACTTGCATTTAATAATACTCCTCAAAAACTATTAAAAATGCTTCACACTTACAATGATAAATTATCATAATAGAGAAAGCTAAATACAGTTGGAAAATCAGTACAATGCAAACATAATTACAATGCTGGCAATGAAAACACATATCTTAACAATTAACATTTAAAGGAAACAAGTCTTACTTGCAGTGACAAATAAAAGCCATCATCTGGTCCTGTCAGCTCAGCCCAAATCTTGGTAGCTTCCTCCCAAGACATTCCCCTCTCCACACTTATCTGTAAAAAAAAAAAGTAATGAAATTTAAATTAAACTCACTTCTTAGGATGCCTATCAGAAAAGCACACTATACTTGAATGAGCACATTTTACAGGCTTACTGTGTATAATTCTACATGGCCAGATGTTGAATATCCTGGAGTCAGAAACTTCTTAACATCACTTTTCCTCACTTTTTCATCTCCAGAACCAAGATCTTGAATAAGAAAAAGCAATGTATAAGTATAAAAAAAAATTTCATCAGGAATACACATGACATTTTAAAAATTTCCCAACTTACCTAAGATTCCCATATCATATCTTCCATTTTTTTTGGCATTTTGAACGACTGCAGTAAGCGTGTCCGCAAAATACTGAAATAATGCATTCTGTTGATGTACTTCCATGCCCAAAATTCTGTTTAAGAATTTTCCTATGTTGTTATAATCTGCAATGACAAAATTTTATGAACGATTTAAGGCATTCAAATGGCAATTTAACAAGTTTATTCATCTCAGCCTAGTTCAAGTCTCACTTTCTTCTCCAAAGTCTTCTCTCACAATTCTTGTACTGTTTGCAGAACGGGCCTATACTTTGACCGCTTCTACCTCTAGCTATTAGTATAGCTATACTATGCGGTCAAAAGATGTTTGCCAAATTAGATTTTTGTATCTTCAACTTTACTTACTGAAAATATGAATACAATTTAGCACATAAGACTGCTTTCCAACATTAATCATAACTTGTAAAGTTATTAAGTGCCAGAAGTCAGTGAAGCTCAACTTCTGCTGCGCAAGTAGAACGCCCTGGAGCTCTGGAAAATGGCCACTGCCTGAGCTCCTGCCCTGGCTTAAGTACTTTCAAAAAGCTCAACAGTTGCTCATACCTGCAACCTAGTTTGAGAACTGCTGCTACATAGAGAGAAGAGAATAGAGGTTTGATTTTTTGAATAAACATTGTAGCAAAACCCACCAGGTATGCTTTGTGAACACTAAGTACTGAGAGACAGACCAACAGACTTGAAACTTCCCCTTCAAATTGATAAAAACAAACAACAAAATGGGCTGTAATGATACAGCAATAGTTATGTACATATGTGAAACTCATATTATTACCTTTATCTAGAGTAAGAATTCCCGAACGATCTTCTACATTTATTAGACCAACTCCTATCAGTCCTTGTCGAACATCTAAAATAAAACAAAATATATAAAAAATGTTATGGTTCAAATGACTCAATGAGCTGTTACCTAACTAATTAAACCAGATCAAGTTTTAGCATATGTATCTTCCATAATTCCTATTAGCTGAATTAAAAGGAACGCACAGACCCTAAATATCTTTAGGCACTTTGAAATCCTAGAACTCTTAACTTCACATTATACATACTGTTTTCACTAAGATGTCTTATCTTTGTAACAACCATCTTTTGCAGTGGAGATTCTAGGCTACAAAGCTGCTCTGCTCACAGAATTAATTTTGAATTTTGAATACACAGCATGATAGTGATTAAATAACTGTGTAAATAAGGAAATAATGCTTCCTTTCCAAACATTACCTATCAGTATCGACAAGGAGATGCAAAAGATAAGCAACAAGTATAATGGTCAACATGTTCTGAATTATGTTACTAAAAAAATGACTAATAAAACTTAAAAAAAAAAAAAAAATACTGGAGTCCAGGCTCCAACCCAGACTTACTGAGTAAGTGTTTAAGAAAGAGAAAGGGTCAATAGGAAACATAATTATATCCTATTTACATGTTTATTTAATTAGCTAGACGGCTACATGCTTCAAGTGTTTAGATTCTGCAGGTGACATGACAATTCTGTAGCCAAAGATTTCCAATGCAAAAAATCCTCATTTTAGGAACCCATTCTATGAAGAAATTACCTGAATAGAAGGATAGCCGCTATAATTCCAGCACTTTGTGACGCAAAAAAATTAAAACTACTTGAATATCAATAAAGGAATAACTGAAGAACTGTTGCATAACTAGATGGAGAATATTACACAACTCTTAAAAACGTGTTCATGCTATAGCTAATGACTTATAAAAGATGTATGTCTGTGATATACTGAGAAAAGTATGTTGCAAGTAGTGTTTTTAAAAAGCTCTGTGTTTAGACAAACATGGACAAGGGTTTTTTAGACTGCTCTTGTTCAACATTTGTAACCTTACCAAATAAGAGTGGAAGTGGGCAGGTAGTTAAAGAGAGTATTGGCTCCTCATTATTCACTTTTAGATTAGCTTTCATTACTGACAGTAACTAAATAACATGTACTATTTCAGAACTAGAAATAAATTGGGGAGTTGTTTTGACAATCCCTTCAATGACCAAACAAAAAGAAAACAAGAAGAAGAGGGAGAAAAACAACAGGGCTAAGGTTTTATAGGTTTTTGTTTCGTTACATGCCATCAACAACTATAAACAGCCCTGCCAGCTGTGTCAATATGGACTATTACCAACAGTAAACACCAGTTCCATTGGAAAGAACTTCCTAGGGAAAAAACGCTAACTTAATGACAATGTTTCAAGTATCTTACATCTATTTATTCTCCAAAATACTTTCATAGTTTCCCAAACTACTAAAATCTCTCAGACTACTAATATTAATGGGGTAAAATCTACACATCTAAGAATTTCTATAGCACTATTTAGGACTTCTTTAATATAAAAATTTCCAAATATATACAAATGTAAAACAAGAATATTCTATGAACCCACAAGTACCTATTATCCAGTTTTAACAACTGTTAACATATGGCCAATTTTGTTTTATCAATATTTACACTCCCCACTAACCTTCACAGATTTACCCAGATACTTAAAATTAAATGCAAAAAGTTATTTGATATAGTCATCTTCAATTACTCTACCAAAATCATTTTTCCTCTACTAATCTAAAATTATACAACATGCAATAAATTCAAGAGTAAAGTCACTTTACCTGAATGAAATTTAGTAAATCTACTGCTTATTATAAGAGGTTAATTTAGGTGCCTGATAACCATCAATTTCTAAATTTCATACATTTTATGTCCAAAGAAAACTAAAGGCAACAGCACCTCTTAGAATGGGTTTTAGTACCTTCTAACAGGTGAGACTTGTCAGTACTAATTTTCCTTTTTTATGATTATTTTTTAAAGTTACCTTTAAAGAATTCTCCAGGATAGTCTGGAGGTGGTGATACCATAGGAGAATCTAGGTTTACGATGGATTTCATGACAATTTCTAAAGCATTTCTTCCATACTGCAATAAAAAAAACAAAGACATTTAACCAGTTTCAGCATTTGGATACTCTTCAATTACATGACCAAATGAATGTTTTTATAAAAACTACTACTGTATCAAACAGTAAAAAATAGCAGGACTCAATTACCTTTATGTAAACTTTACATGGCCTAGTGCCTCCTTCACACCTTCGCACACAGCAGGCATTCAATAAATTAACAACTTTCTTTACTACTGGGAACTCCCACTTGATTCATCCACAAATGTTTATTATAATCCTCTTTTCCCACAGGGAAGAGGTCATTATACTGCACATTTGATCACCGAAGACCTAATTGCTTTCATTTTACAGGAAGCCATGATTTTACAGCAAAATCATAAGAGGAGGCAACTTAAAAGTTTTAAACAGTAACCACTTGACCTTTCTGTTCCTCATAGACACCATACACTGCTACAATTTTTCACAGATACTGATAGCTGAAATGTACCTTATTATCGAAGTTGAACCGGCTCAGATCTCTAGATTCTGTTGCTCTTCTGTCTCCATGTGTAAGTGCACCCTATCCAAACATAAAATTTCCAATCAAGGCAAAGAAGACAAGTAACATACACCATCTTTTACACACATCTACGTAACTAAAAAACTTACCAAACTCTCAAGTCTCTTAGCAACAATAGATGCAAATCTTTGTTCTCCTGCCAATTCAGAAATCAGAAACACATATTCAGGAGCGGTAACTTGATTTGATCTATGAGTTCGTCCTGTAATGACATTAAAAAAAAATCACTGATTGATTGTGTTTGCTAGATACTAGTTCTGAGATCTATTCCTAGCACTTAATAGTAAGCTGGGATCCTAAAAAAGTAAAGAATGTAATCAGCCCAATTCCCCAAAAAGGAAAAAATTGCAAACAATGACTTGAACTTGAACAACATTTGTATTGAGAGTAACACTCCTCATTGCAAGAGAACAAAAACTCCCATAAAACTGTTAAGTGATAATTGCATTATTAAGTGCTACCCCAATTTGGTTGACCACAATGTTGCTGATGCACAGCTGCTCTGGAATCTACAAAAAAAATTTTATTTCTTTTTTTTAAAATGGCCAGGTCAGGGGACATGAAGATGTAAGGTGAAGGGAGGAGCAATGTGCTCTCACTCAAGCCACTGGGGGCTGAAAAGGACATCAAGTGGCAGCTGCTGACACAGGTAATGTACATCCCCAGAGGTCTGCAAAAAAGATATTCCCAAGGAGCCCCAATTCTTGAATATAAAGCCAGAAAGCCCTACTGCAGGTCTTTTACAGCTTTTAAAATGACTAAGAAATACATTCATGATGTACTCTATACTTTAAGGTACATGTAATACCCAAGTATCTCCAAAACCGACACATGCATCGAGTTTTACTATGTCCAATATTAAAGTATTTTCCCCAATGAAGTGAAATTCAGTGCAGGACTTACCAAATTGCTGAATTGCTCTATCAGCACTCCATGGTAACTCCAGAGTCATATGAACTCTCCGCCTTTGATTTTTAGCTCTTCTATCCGCTTGTAATGAAATACCTGAGCTGGCAGCTTCTGAGATGATAGCAATATTCTGTATCAAGTGGAAGGAGAAAAAATAAAAGATCACTTTTGCACAAAGACAAGCAGGAAAACATCCACCACTATGTATTCTCCTCAAATTATAGAACCCTTCATTTTAGCTGTGCATGGTTACAAGCACACTCAAAATCAAGACTACATTTCCAGTCTCCCTTACAGCTAAGTGTGGGCACATTCCAGCCAGCAGGTTACATGGACAATGTCCAGGAAATGTCCCTAATTGAAGATATGTCTCCCTCTTTTTTCCTCTCTGCTGGCTGAAACACAGAGGTGTAATGACCAAATGTGAAATAAGCTGTCATGGAATATGGAGGTTAACTTGGAAATGCAAGTCTGCATAAAAAGTACCAAGACAGAAGTGACCTAGTCTTCAAGGGGTCATGCCAGTGCTGTTCTACCTAACAAAATTTCTACATGAGAAAATGAACTTCCACTTTAAGTCATTGTGATAGTGGGTTTTCTGTCACTAACAGCCAAACCTGATCCCAACTAATACATAATTCCTAATGGACATGGGCCTAAATTACTAGTGAAACAAATACATAAGATAATTGATAATACCTCTACCTACAATCTTTAAAATATGTAACAAGAGCTTTAAATACACTTGAAATGTATGCGCATAATTCTTTTCACCAAAATGCATCCCAGAAAAACATACCTTATCTCCATCCATAAATCTTTGTTTTTCTGTAATATTTAGTATTTCCACAGGAACATCAAGTTCAGATCTTGACTCATAAGATATGCTTCCATCATCATTGCTTACAACCCTCCCCTTGCGGCCAGTCATCTGCAAAGTCAAACAATGTCGCTTACAATTAAGGTATCTGACTGTGGTGCAGGAAGTTCACGACTCCCACTAGAGAAACATGGTGGAGGTGAAAGGAAAAGGAAGCCAATGTGCACTGTGCATCCTCTCCCACACCAGGTGCGGGGCAGGGGAGAGCAAACACTGCAACATAAAGCCTGGTTTTAAAAAGTTGAAATTCAGTGGAAAAAACCGACATGTGGCAATGACAACAAAGGCTGTGTGACAGGGGCAGTAACAGAGATCTGAGTCTTGGGGCAGATCCTGAAGACACCAGGGGAAGGAGCTCACTTGCTCTAGGACAACAACTAGAGCAGAACAAGGGTTCTCAGATCGCAGAGAGGGTACCAGGTCATTTTATGAGGAAACAATGTATTGTGCGTTCTAAAGGGCTTGTAAGTGGCAAAAAAAATTACCTAGGACAGAATCAACCGCGTTTAAGTCATATTTACCTCAGCAACGTTCTCAGGGCCACCAAGTTCATCAATAAGTTCATCCAGGGTATTAGGAGGGAGGTCTTCAGCTAATTTTTCTAGTTTATCAAGTAGGTCTTTCTTCATCTGTTGGGCCCTTTCCACGGCATCTTGACTTGTTATAAGGCTACTGTTGCTGTTGGTGTTACTGTTAGCTAGATAAAGTACATGTGTTAAAAATCAGTACACAGTTTAAATATTTGTTTTGTTTGAAAGTACATTTCACAGACAAAGCAAACATCCACGTGGTTACCTGGTGCACTGTTAGGAGCAGGTGAAATAACTGGTGTAGAAGAAAAACTAGGTCGTTTTGATCCAAGACCCGATGCTAATAAGGCACTTTGAATAGAATCTGGATCTATACTTTTCCTTTTTTTTTTGTCTTTGTTTTTCTTATGATCTTTTCTGATTAACCAGGGATCTAAAAGTTAAGGAAATACATAAATCATTTGTTAACACAAGTACAAAATTTCCAAAGGAAACCACCAATGAGTTTTTTTGTATTGCTGACCGACAACTTGTAAACCACCACCAGCTATAGCAGTCCAGTACATCCATACACCATGAGGTAAATGCCATGGTTTGAGGTTAAACATAATTGAACAAAACTGATGTCATGACCTTACATAAATGAGCTCAACTGCCAGAAGACAGAAAAACTTGGAGCTCCCACAAAGCAAAGATTAGAATCTGATAATTTTTACAGGAAAAAAAAAGGTTTTAGTACAATATCCCATTTCAAATACACAGAAATAAGGACCCTTTAGTTTATATTAAAATATTAAAGAACTTACCATCTTCATCATCCTCACTAGACTCATCTCTGAATGGATTGAAATCATCATCATCTCCAGAACTCATGTTTTTAGAGCTCTCATAGTCACTTTCTTCATTATCAGAGGCATCAGATTCACTTCCACTATCATCAGAACTGCTACCAGTAAGGCCACCTATTTTTCGTGCTTTTTTGGCTTCTCGAGTTATTTCTTCACCTACCCACAAAACCCAAACCCAAGAGAGTCAAAACACACTGTGGTAAAAGTCAGGAAATTATATTTAGTTCATAAGCTAATACATTTAACTAATTCAAAAGACAACTAAGAAGAAAAGTATTTGCATTAAGTATACAAGAACAAGGAAGAGAGGAAGGCAACCCATTCCACTACTCTTGCCTAGAGAATCCCATGGACAGGAGCCTGGCAGGCTGCAGTCCATACGGCTGCACAGAGTCAAACATGACTGAATCGAATAAACAGCAGCAGCAGCATACAAGAAAAATTAAAAATTCATGAACAATCACAGCCTTTTGGACTCCTATAAGAAGTCAGGTTATATACAATTATTTTTAGGAGAAATTATGTATATAAGTATAAACTCGAGATAGCCTTCAAGTGCGTAAGTTTCAAAATTCAGGACAACAAAGATGAAACAATCTCTGGCACCGTCAGAATTTGTGTATCAGGCTGACAGACAAGGCCTAATAATTACAGGTTTTTAAACTACTTAAATATTTTATGGAATACTACCAAAAAAAAAATCTACAAAACTGCATTTTTTAAAGTTAAACAAGGCTGGGAAAACTGGTCAACCACTTGTAAAAGACTGAAACTAAAACACTCTCTAACACCATACACAAAAATAAACTCAACATGAATTAAAGATCTAAATATAAGACCAGAAACTATAAAACTCCTAGAGGAGAACATAGGCAAAACACTCTCCGATATAAATCACAGCAAGATCCTCTATGACCCACCTCCCAGAATATTGGAAATAAAAGCAAAAATAAACAAATGGGACCTAATGAAACTTAAAAGCTTTTGCACAACAAAGGAGACTATAAGCAAGGTGAAAAGACAGCCTTCAGAATGGGAGAAAATAATAGCAAATGAAGAACAGACAAAGGATTAATCTCAAAAATACACAAGCATCTCCTACAGTTCAATTCCAGAAAAATAAATGACCCAATCAAAAAATGGGACAAAGATCTAAACAGACATTTCTCTAAAGAAGACATACAGATGGCTAACACACACATGAAAAGATGCTCAACATCACTCATTATAGGAGAAATGCAAATCAAAACCTCAATGAGGTACCATTACACACCAATCAGAATGGCTGCTATCCAAAAGTCCAACAAGCAATAAATGCTGGAGAGGGTGTGGAGAAAAGGGAACCCTCTTACACTGTTGGTGGGAATGCAAACTAGTACAGCCACTATGGAGAACAGTGTGGAGATTCCTTAAAAAACTGGAAATAGAACTGCCATATGACCCAGCAATCCCACTCCTGGGCATACACACCGAGGAAACCAGATCTGAAAGAGACACGTACACCCCAATGTTCATCGCAGCACTGTTTATAATAGCCAGGACATGGAAGCAACCTAGATGCCTATCAGCAGACGAATGGATAAGGAAGCTATGGTACATACACACCATGGAATATTACTCAGCCACTAAAAAGAATTCGTTTGAATCAGTTCTAATGAGATGGATGAAACTGGAGCCCATTATACAGAGTGAAGTAAGCCAGAAAGATAAAGACCAATACAGTATACTAACGCATATATATGGAATTTAAAAAGATGGTAACGATAACCCTATATGCAAAACAGGAAAAAGAGACACAGATGTACAGAACAGAATTTGGGACTCTGTGGGAGAAGGCGAGGGTGGGATGATCTGAGAGAACAGCATTGAAACAAGTATACTATCAAAGGTGAAACAGATCACCAGCCCAGGTTGGATGCATGAGACAAGTGCTCAGGGCTGGTGCACTGGGAAGACCCAAAGGGAAGGGATGGGGAGGGAGATGGGAGGGGGGTTCAGGATGGGGAACACATGTAAATCCACGGCTGATTCATGTCAATGTATGGCAAAAACCACTAAAGTACTGTACAGTAATTAGCCCCCAACTAATAAAAATAAATGGAAAAAAAAAGTTAAACAAGGTGCTAATCTGAATTATCTTACTGGAAATTCATAGAAGATATCTAGAGTAAATTAATCAAAACTGAGAAGAACATTAAAAAGGTTCACATACTAATGAAATGGTGAGAAGATAATTCAGAAAAGGGAAACATGACCATCCAGTGACCACTCTAACAGGCCACTGACTCTAGGCCACAGCATTACTTTTTGTGTCACCAAAATAAAAGATAATGCCAATTATAATAGCCAACCTACTTTCAGGCATATTAAAAATATAAGGGATCAGGCATATTAAAAATATAAGGGAAAAAGCATTTCTTGAAACAGATGAAAACAGGCACTGTGTTTAGAACACACAGCATCATGTACATTCTTATCAGCATTTTAAAGAGAGCCTGAGATGTTAACCTCTAAAAGGCAAAGAGCTTAGTAAGCACCTCAACAGAAATCCAACTTTGCAATTTTTATAAAATGTCTAACAAACATAAGTGAGTGTATGCCTAATAATTAAGTAATAAACTAACAAAAGTCTAAAGAAGACGATATAAACACACGGGCTTCCCAGGTGGCTCAGTGGGTAAAGAATCAATCTGCCTGCAATGCAGGAGACTTGGGTTTGATTCCTGGGTCAGGAAGATGCCCTGGAGGAAGGCACGGCAAGCCATTCCAATATTCCTGCCTGGAGAATCCCCATGGACAGGGGAGCCTGGCAGGCTACAGTCCATAGGGTCGCAAAGAATCGGACACGAAAGCAGCAACTGAGCACGAGTGCATGCACACACATACTCTCACACACCCACACACACAGCATCAACAGAAAGGCCCAGATTTTGGTTCCCCATTTATCATCCAGTAGTTGTGTGAACCTAGGGATATCACCTAACCTCTTTCTGTGCCTTCATTTCCTGTCTATAAAACTGAAAAACTAAAGCCTTTCATGTGGATCCCTTGTAGTTAAACAAGACCACGTGTGGGTGGTGCTCAACATAGTGCCTAGCACCAAACTGTTAAAGCCACAATTTAAAATGGGGACTATTTGTGCATTCAAAATGACATGGGCCATGGGAATTCCCTGGTCCATTGGTTAGGACTCCATGCTTTTTGGCTCCAGATTCAATCCCTGGTCAGGGAACTCAGATCCCACAAGACACGCAGTCAAATAAATAAAAGACACTTCCTTTAAAAACAAACCAAACACTGCACGATCCAATTTAAGGAAGGCAGCTCAGTTCAGCTCAGTCACATCCGACTCTTTGCAACTCCATGAACTGCAACACGCAAGGCCTCCCTGTCCATCACCAACTCCCGGAATCCACCCAAACCCATGTCCATTGAGTTAGTAATGCCATCCAACCATCTCAGCCTCTGTCATCCCCTTCTTCTCCTGCCCTCAATCTTTCCCAGCATCAGGGTCTTTTCAATGGAGTCAGCTCTTCACATCAGGTGGCCAAAGTATTGGAGTTTCAGCTTCAACATCAGTCCTCCCAATGAACACCCAGGACTGATCTCCTTCAGGATGGACTGGTTGGATCTCCTTGCAGTCCAAGGGACTCTCAAGAGTCTTCTCCAACACCACAGTTCAAAAGCATCAATTCTTCGGCGCTCAGCTTTCTTTATAGTCCAGCTCTCACATCCATACATGACCACTGGAAAAACCATAGCCTTGACTAGACAGATCTCTGCTGACAAAGTAATGTCTCTGCTTTTTAATATGCTGTCTAAGTTGGTCATAACTTTCCTTCCAAGGAGTAAGCATCTTTTGAAGGCAGTACATGCCCGAAATACAGCTTGCATCAAAATGCTCGTTTATATTACTTCCAGCACCATTTAAAGGAAAGTACCCACCTTTCCGCTTCTTTGTTTTATTTTCCTTACAAGGACTATCTCTTGGTGAACTGCTGTTACTTGGAGCTGTCAAATCAATTCCCAGCAAACTATAAAGCTTTTTTCTGTCCGGAGCAGGGAAGTGTTTTTCAATGAGTGACTGTAACACTCCTCTGTTCGTAGAAGAGATAAAAAAGTGACAGTCAGTGGCTCAATATGCAAAATTATTATATATAAAATACTACTGAAAGTATTTGCTTAAAATAAGTACACTTTATTAGCAGCATCTCCAAACTGGATACTACAAGTAGGATAGCTCCACATAATTATAAAGCCAGCTTAGGAACTCAACACCAATGGTTTTTTTTTCAGAAATGCTGCAGCACAGGAGGACTCCATGTGGAACAACTAAACATAAGGGACTGAGTCAAAAGGTGATTCCGAACAGCTGGACTCTGAATGTAAAGGACTTTAACAACCCTTTAACCAATTTATTTCACATATATTTCCATTTTCAGGTATGTGAAAGAGTTAAAAATAATCAAATCTATGTCTTACTAAAAAACAAAAACAAAAGTTTATTCAATCTTACAAGATACTGATAATCCAAGTCAGAAGAATTTCGGTACTCTAGGCAAGACTATTCAACTGAAATATAATGCAAACCAAACACAACTTTTACACTTTCTAGGAGCTGCATTATGGCTTCCCTGATAGCTCAGTTGGTAAAAATTCCGCCTGCAATGCAGGAGACCCCAGTTCAATTACTGGGTCAGGAAGATCCACTGGAGAAGGGATAGGCCATCCACTCCAGTATTCGTGGGTTCCCCTCTTGGCTCAGCTGGCAAAGAATCTGCCTGCAATGCGGGAGGACCTGGGTTCAACCCCTGGATTGGAAAGATCCCCTGGAGAAGGGAAAGGCTACCCACTCCAATATTCTGGCCTAGAGAATTCCATAGACTATACAGTCCATGGGGTCACAAAGAGTCAAACAGGACTGAGCGACTTTCACTTCCAGGAGCTACATCTAAAAGTTACAGAAAACAACTTGTCACTATAAAATGTTACAATGAAATGTTTTACATTCTATTTCCTTAAGTCTTTGAAACTTGATGCATATTTCATACTTGAAGGTCATCTCATACTGGAGTAGCCATTTCAACTGTTACACTAGCCATGCAGTACCTATCATCTCAGAGGCAGTACAAGGCAAGACACAGATTGGCAGGTGCATGCTCTGCATTTAAAGGAGCTTTAAATTATGTCTTAAAAGGAGCCACTTGAATGTATCCCCTAAGGCAAAAGATAGCATGGTGACAAAAGTTATTTCACTAATTTTACTCCCAGAGTTGGAACTGTCTGGTTAAGCAAAGCAAAAAATAACGTCTAAAGCCTTTCTTAAAATTCTTTTGACTTTTCAAGGATTATCTGCAGTGTTTACACTAAAGCATAATAAACTGGAATAAATGAAACCATTAGGATACTGGCGGTTTCAAATACGCAAAGCCAAAACAAAACTGAAACTTAAACCAAGCTGTCAGAATCCCAAGATGTACAAAACAGAAATCAAGTCCTCCCATTAGTCCAAATACTAGGCATATAACGTTAAAATACTTAACATTTCAGTATTTCTATGTTACTGTTTTTCAAGATATATTGCTATGGATACACAGGATTATGAAAACTCAGATCAGAAAAACTTAAATTTAAAAGGCAAAAATTTTGCCTCCAGGAAATGCTAACATTTAAACTAATCTTAGTAAAGACTCAAAACCGTAAACATTACTTGGCAGTTGAAACAAAATCATTCAATTCTCCCCCGCCCTCTTCCAAGGCTTCTAATGTTCTAGCTTCTCCGGTAGACTGCAGACCAATTACAACACACTGGAGGGAAAAAAAGAATGCTATTAATTATAAATAAAAATAGATATGTGGTTTCTTACAACATATTTTACACATTTAGTTTTAAAAAAAAGATTTCAAGGCTTCCCTGGTGGCTCAGTGGTAAAGAATCCACTTGCCAATGTAGCAGACATGGGTTCGATCCCTGATCCAGGAGGATCCCACATGCCACAGAGCAACTAAGCCCTTGCACCACAACTACTGAAACCCACATGCCCTAGAGTCCATGCTCCATAACAAGAGAAGTCATGGCAATGAGAAGCCCAAGCAATGCAACCAGAGAAAAGCCCATGCAGCAACACACACAGCACGGTCAAAAATAAATAAATTAAAAAAGATTTCAAACAATAATTACCCATTTTGTACATGTGTACCAATGTCTTATTTTGCATATTTGAAATGCGCTATATGTAAAACACAGCCAGGTGATAGTATTACAGAGGTGAACACTACTGAAGCCCCTGCTCCAGTTTTTTGTGCTTTAAGTAGATATATATTCGCCAAAAAAGGAAAACCTTTAAAGTATTATATATCCATGCTATCAGTGGTTACATCTATGGATAGCCAAGTTATAGTGATGTTTATTTGTTTATATCTTTTTGAGCTATCCAAATTCTTTATAAATACATATTGCTTTTATTGTCGTAAAAATGCATTTTTTAAAGTCTCTTTTTTAAAGTTAATACTCTTACAACTATCCTTTAGAAACAAAGGTTTTTATAAGTAGAAAACCTCAACACCCAAAAGATTACAACACAAAACCAAAATCGCATCTGTTAATGCATTCTCCAACTTACTTTTCCATTCTTGATTTCTTCTCGAGCTAGCTGCACAACCCTTTTAACTTTGGACGCTATGCACAAGTATTTGAAAAATCTCTGGTGGGCAGACCAGAACTGACCCCACATGGATTTCTTCATTCTCTGCTCAGCATCAATCAGATCTGCAGCTTGCTGAAACCGCTCTCGAGCAATGACCCACTGAAGGCACACAATCAACAGATATTTCAATCTTCGAGTGTGATTTACTTCAATATGACTAATTCAATCAAAAGAATGTGTATGATACATTTAACATTAATTCAATGAAGCATTTTCAGTAACTTGGGAACCTCTAAACAAATGTTTTTTAGGACATTCACACAGAGCTGTCTCAAAATTCCTATTAACTAATACAGTAATTTTAGGAAACACTTAGGTTGATTTTTAAAGCTATGCACGCTATGCTATAAATGGTTATTTCTTTTAAGTTACTGTAACAGAGAAAATTGGGAAAATACAGGATCCAGTGATTTATCTGCTGTTTTACGGCAGATATATACTGTGAGCTGACAAACATTACACTGGACAAAACTAACAAAAACATCATCAGGTACATTAAAAATACTAGGAGTTAAGGAAAAAAGGCTCACCAGTTTGACTGCTTTGTTATACATTTTAACATAGCTCTGAGAAAGAAGAACTTCCTCAATTTTGAAGGTCACTCCAGTAAAGCTCAGCTGTCGAGCAATGTACATTCCTCTAAGCTTCATATCCATAGCAACTATTTCCATGGCACCAACACCTCTGAATAAAATTAAAACACACAGTAACTATCATTAAATATAGTAGAGCTTTAACATACATGGAAGAGATTTTAGCAATAATATCTCTTTTAGATTGCTGAGAACAATGTACACTGTAAATTGCATTACCTCCGTTCTACTGCCTGAATAAAGTCACTGAATTCTCTAAATGGAGTTCCCTCACCCCATATTCCAAGACGGTTCATATAGGCCATATTTCGTGGTTCAGAAGCACCTGAAAAACACCCAAACAAAACATGTTACAGCTGAAAAAAATAACACGTAAAAAGATATCTTTATCTTTTAAATAACTCACCAGTGGCACTAGCATAGACAACTCTGGCTTTTGGCAATTTGTTCTGAAGTTCTAAAACTGCTAAGCCTGTCTTGGTTGGCTTGGAAGAACCAACAGGACATAAGTTTTTCGCTTTATGACATTCATCAAAAACTATCTGTAAAGAATAAATTAAGGAACACGTCACTTTAGTACCAAGTGTCTCTAATCTCAGAAAGACTTAGCTTTTATTTCCTTGAGGCCTGGGCAAACATGCAAGAGTCCTAAAGAGTTTAAAAAAAAAACAGAAAAAAAATTCTGGAGTGAAAACAAACCATGATTATCAGGGGCAAGAGATGCTGTTGGTAACAAGCCCCTGCACAGGAACTTTGTTTTTTCACTAACACCCATATACCTATCATCTGGTTTCATCAAACCTTAACATTTTACTGTATCTGCTGCAGACTGTTTTCTTTTTTAAAGTTACAAATATAAATAAAGCCCTCTGTGTGATTCTTCTCCTTGATACCCGCCACCACGCTAGCCACAGAGGCATTCACTGAATTTGGCACTAATCTTAACTAGACATTTAACTCTTTTTCTAGATACAAAAAAAAGTTACTACTGGATAATGAAGACTGCTTAAATCAAATGGGGGTTTGGTGAGGGCCTGTGGTTTTTCTTTTGGATTAACTGCTCTTACACTGTCCTTCAGGTGGCTGAAAGGAGTTTTGCAACTTCTTCAGACATCACTAGGTGCCAAAGCTCTCGCAGGACAACTTTGATGCTAGATGAATTCTGCCATTTTGCTAGCAATGATACAGTTCTTGGGTCCACCACTCCATTAGAACCATTGGCTCCAATCATACTAATCTGTTAAAATCTTACAAAGCTGAGTACTTCTGGGTATTTAGGTCCACATTCTATTTTAAGGCTGCAAATTCAGCATGTCCCATACCTATTAACATTTTCCTAAAGCAGGAACTTAAAACAGTGGCCTCATATATGACAGCTACAAAACAGAATCAACTATCTGACTCCCTGCAAGCTATGTAATCATTAAAGCTCTCATTCCAGCAGTCTTTTTATTAAACTTCAGAATTCCCATGTATTACAATAACTTTCATGTCATTAAAAAATATAAAATTTGTTGCAAAGGATACCACTCCATCGAAGTCATCACCGCACCAATGTAGAAGTTGTTTTAACCTCGTCTTATATTTACCACCAGACTGACTTTCACCAATAAGGGAAGAATAGGTGGCAAAAATAACACCCTTCTTCACACTCCCATTATGTTTGGAAGAAATTTTTCCGTATTTAAACTGAAAAAGAAAAGAAAAGAACTTAATACACGTCTCTGAAATATTTATCCCATCCAAATTTATACAGCAGGGAAATGATACCAATACACTTTTGTCTCTGAAGTATTTATCCCACCCAAATCTATACAGCAGGGAAACGATGGTACCATGATGGGCTTGAGGAAAGTCAAAGGACCTCTTAAGTTCATACACAAAATTTCTCACACACAAGTGCATACATACATACACACACGTGTGTATATATATATATATAATTAATGTATAAGGATCCAATTTTCAGTCTATCCTCAAAAAACATTACAAACCAAACTCTCCCCAAGAAAAAGGCACAATATTCATTCTACCAATATATACTATGCATTTTCTATATGCAAAGGACTGTAATTAAGATCTGAGGGATATATAAAAATTATGATCAATAGTTACTGCAGTCCTCCTCAATTATACTGACTCAGAAATTAAATTAAAAATATTTCTAGATGCCCATTACATGTTTTAGTTTTGAACTGCTGGTAATCATCCAAGACACAATACTTTTTTACCTACCAACTCATTCAGTAAACCTCATCCCAAAAAAAGTCACTGATGGGCAGGCGGAGTAACACTGAAGCAACTTAGCACTAGTCTGCACATTTACTCACTTAGGACCAGATGTACATTTACTCACTGTCAAAGGCCTAGCAGAGAAGTGCCTGCAGGAACTAGGTGTGTCTAGTCTACCCCTGTGACTCCAGGAATTGGTGCCTAGCAGGAGGCCAATAAAAACTCGCTAAATGAACATTAAACTGTGCTTCTAGAAAATTAAACATATTTTCTTCCACATGACAGAACTGTTTTAACATGAACACAGGTACAGGTATACAAGTTCATTGAATATACAAATTATCTAAACCAGTCTCCAAATCACAATTCATGATGCAAAGGACACACTACCTGCCCATACAGCTTTATTACACTGTACTCTTATACTCACTGTATTAGTTTCATCCATAAATAGTAGTTTTATAAACAGAAACAACAAATGAAAAAAAACCCTGAAGACTGAGAGAATAAACTCAATAAAAAGAGACAATGCCTATTTTATTTGCCATTACATATCCCTACCTGGCACATAATCTAAACCAAAAATTAACAATTGTGGCTAGCACTCACTATACTTGTTGTGAAATAACTCATTTAATCCTCTTAACAACCCTACCAAGTGGAAACTATCATTCTTGCCTCACAGATATTTACTGAATGAACAACTGAATAGAAGACTTTCATACCTTATTCAATGAATGGACCAAAATGTTTTTTGCTCCAATATCCCTCAAATCTCTTTCAGCATCATACTTTAAATCATTTGAAACACTGAACCTACAAAAAAGAAAGGGAAAAGAAAAATACACAAATTAAATGCAAATCCTATCTTTCTAGCAGTATTTGGGAATAAATAAAATCAGGCCTTGACACTTCTAAAAAAAAAAACACCTACTCATTAAGACCCATCCCCATATGCTGGATCATTTGCAAACAAAGTTCCGATAATCTTTAGCACTTACCACAAAGCCCGTTTTCTACTCAACAAATAATTTTCATAGATGATTCCTGCTATTGTCCTTCCTTTTCCTACACCAGCACCATCGCCTATTAAGAAGCCGGCACGATCTCCATTAGGTAGGAACGTTTCATGTTGCTAAAAAAGGAAACGCTGGTAATTAATCTATTCCTTTAGATATTTTGGTGACTGGTTTCTCATATAGTATTTTAGCAATATATTAACACTGTCTATTTTGATACAAATGAAATACAGTTAGCTTAGCATGGAAACTATATTCACTATACAGGAATACCTTGTTTCATTTTGCTGCATGCACTGTTAACTGCACTTCGGGGAAACAGCATTTTTTTTTTTTTTAATGAATTGACAGAAATGCTGTATCAAGCAATCTTATTGGTGCCATTTTTCCAAAAGCATTTGCTCACTTCATGTCTGTATCACATTTTGGTAATTCTCGTAATACTTCAAACTATGTTATTATTATTATGTTTGCTACTGTGATCTGTGATGAGTGATCTTTGATGTTACTATTCTAACAGGGTGCCATGAACTTTGCCCATAATTAATAAACACTGTGTGTACTGTGACTGCTTCACTCACTGACCATTTCCCCCATCTTTCTCCTCCTTTGGCCTATTTCCCGAGACACAACAGTACTGAAATTAGACCAATTAACAACTCTACAACGGATTCTTTAAGCATTCAAGTAGAAGGAAGGGCTACCATGTCTCTCACTTTAAATCAACAGCTAGAAATGATTATTTTATTTTAAAGGCCAGGGCATGTGGAATCTTAGTTCTCTGACCAGGGATCGAACCCACAGCCTGTGTATTGGAAGTACAGAGGCTTAACCACTGGGAAGCCCAGGGGTCTTCCCTAGAAATGATTATAACGTAAGGAAGGGGTGTTGAAAGCCACAACAGGCTGAACACTAGGCCTCTTGCTCCAAACAGCCAAGTTGTGAAAAGAAAAAGGTCTTAAAGGAAAATAAAAGGGCTACTTCAGTGAACAAACAATAAGAAAGAAAACTAGCCTTATTATTGATATTAAACTTTTAGTGGCTGAGACAGAAGACCAAACCAGCCATAAGATTCTCTTCAGCCAAAGCCTAATCCAGAGCAGGGCCTGGATTCTCTCTTCAATTCTATGAAGACAGACAGGTGAGAGCTGCAGAAGAAGCTAGTAGAGGCTGGATCATGACGTTTAAGGAGTCTTCTCCATAACATAAGCACAAGGAGAAACAGCAAGTGCTGATGTAGAAGCTAAACCAAGTTATCCAGAAGATAATAGGGTAAAAGTGGCAACATTAAACAACCAATTTCCAATGTAGATGAAACAGCCTTCTATTTGAAGAAGATGCCATCTAGGGTATTCATAGCTTAAGAGAAGTCAATCAACGCCTGGCTTCAAAGCTTCAGAGGACAGGCTGACTTATGAGGGGTTAATGCAGCTAGTGACCTGAATCTAAAGCCAATGCTCATTTCCTATTCCAAAACTCCTAGGGTCCTTAAAAATTATGCTCAATCTATGCTGCCTGTGGTCGACAAATGGAACAACAGAGCAGTACATCTGTTTACAACATGGTTTACTGAATATACGAAAGCCACTGTTGAAGACTACTGCTCAGAATAAAAGATTCCTTTCAAAGTAATACTGCTCACTGATGATGTACCCAAGAGCTCTGATGGAGACACACAATGACATCAATGTCACTTTCATGCCCGTTTTATAACACAACAGCCATTCTATAGTCCACGAACCCAAGAGTAATTTCAACTTTCAAGTCTTACTCTTTAAGAAACACATTTTGTAAGGCTGTAACTGCCAGAAATAGTGACTCTTCTAATGATTTGGACAAAATCAATTGAAAACGTTCTGAAAAAGGAGTCACCATTCTAGATGCCAGTAAGAACATTTATGATTCATGGGAGAGGTCAAACTATCAACATTAACAGAAGTTTGGAAGATGACTCCAACGCTCATGGATGACTTTGAGCAGTTCAAGACTTCAACGGAGAAAGTAGATGCTTGAGATGGAACCTACTCCTGATGAAAATGCTGTGAAGATTGTTGAAATGACAACAAAGGATCTAGACTATCACATAAACTCAGTTGACGAAGCAGTGGCCCAGTTTGAGGACTGACTCCAATTCTGAAAGAAGTTCCACTGTGGGTAAAATGTCATTAAACAGCACTGCATTGCTACAGAGAAATGGTTAGTGAAAAGAAGAGGAAATCAATGCAGCAAACCTCACTGCAGTCTCATTTTAAAAACCTGCCATAGCCACCCCAAGTTTTAGCAGCCACCATTCTGATCAGTCAGCAGCCATTAACACCAACGCCAAGACCTTGCACTAGCAAAAAGATTACAATTTGCTGAAGTCTCAAGTGATGATTAGCATTTTTTAGCATTATTTCTAAATTAATGTATATACATTTGGGGGGGACATAATGCTATTGCACACTTAACAGACATCATAGTGTAAACACTAAGTTTTACATGCACCAGGAGACAAAAAAGTTCATGTGACTCATTTTATACAATGTTTGCTGTACTGTGGTGGTTTGGAACCAAATCTGCCCTAACTTTGAGATCTGACTTTGTTTTTCTTCCTTGCTACCCTTGTGTGTAGCAGGTAACTAAAGCTAACAAACTGGTGAGCATTCTTCCATAATTTTTCAATGTCTATACAATCAAATACAAATCTTTTCATAACACATAAATATAGTGGATGGTTGCCTATTTGTTTTACAAAAATGGAGTATATCAGAAATCCTCTCAAGACAACTGGCATAAGATAAAAGCTGGTACAACACCTATATGGTAATACCAAAGTTTATTCAATCACTCCCCAAGGGTGTGAGCTTTCAAATCTTTTCTAGCTTTCAGTCTCTAGGAGGAAAAAGCTGCAACAAATAGCCTGATATGTATGTTCTTATCTAATAGTTCCATGAAACAGACTCCCAGTCATGGAACTGTTAAGTCAAAGGATATAGGCATTTTTAATTTTAATACATGCTCCTAGTGAGTCCCAGAAAGGCTATGACAATTTATCATTTCCACTATAAATGTAGTCACCAAACCCATGCTATCCTTTTCATTTTCTAATACATAAAACTAAAAAAAAAATCACATTCACAAGTTTTTCATTCAAGGAAAACTTAACTTTGAATTAAAACAAGTCTATATTGTGAACTAAGATTAAAGATAAAACCTGTACATAGTTATAAAATATTATGGCTTACCTGGGCTGCATAAGTAATTGCTTCAAGCTGTAATGCTGATAACCAGCCATTATCAATGGTTTCTTCAGAAATAGATGTCTTGTACCAAACATCAGGAGGAGTAACACTGGATAAAGAACTAGTCTCAACTACAGCATCTGGGTGACGTAGGCCAATTTTTACTAAACAAAAGTTTAAAAATACTTCATTTTAATTATTCTGAGTAATAACACTTCCACTCTTATCATAAAATATTATAGTACTTCTCCTCTGATAGAGAAATGTAAGTAACTATACACCCTGGGATCCTAGGTACTGTTTAAATTTAACTAACGTTAACTTACTTACCAACTACCTATGGTTTAAACAGAGACTTGGGGGGGGGGAGGCTCAACAGGGAGGGGGTTCACAGAGATTCATGGCTGACTGGGCTTCTCTGGTGGCTCACACAGTAAAGCATGCAATGCAGGAGACCTGGGTTCAATCCCTGGGTTGGGAAGATCCACTGGAGGAGGGCATGGCAACCCACTCCAGTATTCTTGCCTGGAGAATCCCAAGGACAGAGGAGCCCAGAAGGCTACAGTCCATAGGGTCGCAGAGTCAGACATGACTGAGTGATTAAGCATAGATAGCATGGCTGATTCACATCATATGGCAGAAACCAACACAACATTGTAAAGTAATTGTCCTACAGTTAAAAAGATAGTAAAATAAATAAATTTATTATAAAAAGAGACCTGCTGATTAAAAAGATCTAGAAAAATACCATCTCAATTCATACCACCAGGTTCTCCAGTAGTAGCATACTCCTAGATTAAGTTCATTTTAAATGATCCAGAAAGTATGGGACCTGGAATCCATATACAGTTGGTAAACAGATTTTTAGTTTAAGTCGTCTTATTAGTGACTTTTTATAGAAATCCAGAGTGTATGAGAAACAAATTTTAGCCATAGATTTTCCCATCTTATTACCCTCAGAAAATGAAAACGTGAAAAAATTTATATATAAACTAAAAATTACTAGTTTCAAACTTAATATACTGGCCACTTAAAAAAAAAAAAAAACCCAAAAACTGAATCACGGTCCTTGTGCGGAAGAGAAAGAAATGGTGTTAATTTAAACCACTGAATTCAAATAGCACATTTTAAGATTCCCATGCTTTTACAGCTTGTTTTAGATAAGCTGTATAAACTATAATGCTGAGATATATGTTTACATCTCTGTAATTTACTCTGATTTTATAATCACTGCTGATATGAGGAAAATTAACTTGAAAGGAAAAAGCTTTTTTACTCTTGGTTTTAAAAGACTTCATTCCAAACTAAAGTTCGAAATTTGTGTAGGAAAATTAAAACTCACAGTAGAATTTTCATGTAGCTATTTTAAAACATATTACAGTTTAAAACATACTCATACACAGCTCATACCTATCAAATCCTGAGGTACCCAAGGTGGACGGATCCTAATAGGTAACAATGTGTGGGGAAAAGTTATTTAAGTTTAAAAAGAACCCAGAAGTTCATTATTTTAACAAATCTCAAAGACATACATTTTATTGGCATATACTCTGCATAGGTTTCCGCATGACCCATTTCTTCTTCATCTTCTTCTTCTGGTTCATCTTCCTCTTTCACAACAGGGACCTTCTGTAACACAGAGAGAGCAAAATCAACTAAGTCCAGAGAACAGAGGCCCAACCAACACACAGAAATATTCTTTTGGGAGGAATACCCACTATCTTCATCTTGGAAGCAGGACATGCCATTCTATAGTTCCTAAAATCTAGGTCATACTCTATGGCTTCCCTGCATCTCCAATGATGAGCACAGACAATCTGTGATATGATATCATCACAAACACACACATGGATCACCACAGGGTTCCACCACCTTCTCAAACCAGTTTCCCTTTCAACACTGCCCACCAGCCTCCCTGATGCCCAGATGTCTCTTTAACCTCCAGTCCTCACTCTTCATTCCAATTCCAAGAACAGAAAGAACAAGAGGTTTGGAGAAAAAAGGTGGCTGAACCCCAGCAGCACATTCTACAATCTCATGGGCAGGAACTCGCTTTAAGTCTCACTCCCACCCTCTTTTCAGTTCACCTCCATCTATTTTCTTTCCCTTGGGTCCTAAAACCAAAACCCCAGAAAACTCAGGAGTTTAAATGTTCTTCTGAAACACAAAATTTATTTCAGAAGTCTGTGTCTCCACAGACACAAAAACAATACCACATCATCTACTCTCCAAACAATGGCACATCTCAGAGTAAAATGACGAGTTATTAGTAACTACACCAGGAGAACAGCAGACCAGCAGAAGCCCACACAGTCCCAGGCAAAGTGAGTGAATGGCCACTATAGCCACGTACCTTGTATTCCTCTACAGAATCTCAGAATGGTAGAGACAGGGAAAAATAGGGGATAGGAAGTCCTAAAAAAGTTTCTTTTCACTACCAGCAAACCATAAAGGGAAGCTCTTTATGAATGAGGGCTTAATCAAGGAAGAATGCAGGGAGAAGCTGTGAGACCCAGTATACCAAGGAAAGGAGGAGAAAGACAAAGAAAAAACCCAGTTAGGACATACAGGTAATGCCAAGGATAAGATGGTATTAAAAGGTAAGATCAGGCTTCTCTTTTGTGTCATTTATATTTTACTTATTTTTACTTAATCTAGAGCAGAATATGATGACATACAGATACTCAATAAATGTGGGAAGGAATAGGGAGGTGATAGATAAACATTCAGCCAACATCAACCCATGAAGTCCTTTAGGAAAAAAAAGTCAAGAAAACTCTGAATATTCTCAGAAAGTATGCCAAAATGAAACCCAGTTTCAGAAATAACAGACCAAATGGGGCTGGCCAAACAAACAAACACAAACCCCAATTCTGCTGAATTTGTGTAGCCTTGGGCAAATCACTACATCCTCAGTCCTCCCTACCCCCTCTTTGCACCTCTTCTTCATCTATAAAACAGGAATATACACTATACTAAATGACCAGCCTCCCTTCTCCCTCTACCTTAAAAAAATTTTCTTACCACAGATATAATTGGAGGATTAGCTGGTCACAAAATTCAGGGACCAGACAAGTAACATTTCTAAGCCAGCTGGATGCAAAGTGGCAACTGACACCAAGCTTAGGGTGAAGGAGCAAAATGAAGGGGAGAGAAACTGTGGCACATGGGGAACATGTGACTAACCACAGTAGATGCTCACTACAACTCTAGGTATTTTTATGTGTTAGCAACTCGAAATTCAAGATTTTTCAAAATAATGTGGAGGCCAAACAAAACACATGTCAATTGGTTCTGGTCCACAAGCTACCAGTTTGCAATCTGTTAGATGTCACTTAACTACTAGGATAATACAGAACTTTTGACATATTACGGGCAACATGGGCTGGACTAGAAACTTGAACACTAAAATCTTTAAGAAAAATAATTCTTATTTTCAAAAAAATCAACTTTCAAGTAAGCTGTTGGCACACAATTACTACGTAAACTGATACTGCCAGGACTTATTCTCCTGGTCCCTGTTCAAAACCTCAGGCACAAGTTGCTTTGCTGTCCCTCCAAGTCCAAATTCCATTCCCAGTCTTACCAATCCTCTGGTATCGTTATGTACAGTCACCTCTTATTTTCTTACTTTTTTTCTTCCCCCTTACCTTTTCCAATCACCTCTGAAATTCCTCAAGTTTAGTTCCTTGTCACTTCCTCTCTGGATCACCTGACAACCACCTAACCTGTTTATTCTTCCCAATCCATCCTGAGTCACTAACAAGCCCCTCTACCTCCATCCAGTGGCCCTCACTGGTGCTGCTCTAAGTCCCAAGTCCAACAAACGCAAGACCTTCTACAGAGCCCCCAATCAACCATTCCAATACAACTAAGCCAAGTCTCCTAAGCCCATAGCTATCACCTTCTCTGTGCCTACTGATGCTGCAGCTCCCTTCCTAATATGCCCTCTCAGTTTCTCCATACGCAACACCCCAACTCCATGACACCTCCTCCATAAACTGAACTCCTACCAGGCCACCGGAGTCTGACCTTCCTCCAAACTCATAACCCTTATTGCGAGCATCACAGTGCACCTCTTGCTGTACCTTGTATTACTACTTAAACCACGTGGTGTTAAATTACATTACTAAAATGGGGAACCAGAAACCCACTTCACAGAGGCAGGGTTAAACACTGCAATTATTAAATACAGGAATAGAATCAATTTTTTGCCTTTTCATACAAAGGTCCCTCTAGTCAAGGCTATGGTTTTTCCAGTAGTCATGTATGGATGTCAGAGTTGGACTATAAAGAAAGCTGAACGCTGAAGAATTGATGTTTTTGAACTGTGGTGTTGGAGAAGACTCTTGAGAGTCCCTTGGACTGCAAGGAGATCCAACCAGTCCATCCTAAAGGAGATCAGTCATCAATATTCATTCGAAGGACTGATGCTGAAGCTGAAACTCCAATACTTTGGTCACCTGATGTGAAGAGCTAACTCATTTGAAAAGACCCTGATGCTGGGAAAAGACAGAAGGCGGGAGAAGGGGACAACAGAGGATGCGGTGGTTGGATGGCATCACTGACTCATTGGGCATGAGTTTGAATAAACTCTGGGAGTTGGTGATGGACAGGGAAGCCTGGTGTGCCGAAGTCCATGGGGTCACAAAGAGTTGGACACGACTGAGCGACTGAACTGATAGCATCAATTTACCTGAAGCATACAGCACTTTCAAAATGTAATAAAAAAAGTTATCATATGCGGAGGGAGGTGGAGGGAGGTTCAAGAAAGAAGGGACATATGTGTACCTATGGCTGAGTCATGTTGATGTATGGCAGAAACCAACACAACACTGTAAAGCAATTATTCTAGAATTAGAAATAAATTTTTAAAAAGTTATCATGTAATTGCTTACAATTAAACAATTGTAATAAATTGTACAATAAAACAATGATATGACAGTTCATAACTAGCTATATAATAATGCTCAACCCTAAAATGAACCTAACTATGACATCCTTTTGGTTAACTCCACCCTGTCTTTTTTACTTATCAGACAAGATTCACAATAAAAAAGGTGTTAGTATTTTACGTAATACTCTATCAAATATGCAAGTGACAATCATCTTGTTTAGAACACATTAGTTTATTCCAGTGAGATTTAATGTTTACTTTATGTGGCTGAGACACTCTCCTTCACCTAAAAAATATACTTAGCCAAGGGTATAGCCAAGTGTATTTTCGTACCACACAAAAACAGAGATACAGTTTTTGAAACTCACCATGGTCGGGGAAAAACTCCTCATTTTCATATCATTTATCCATATTCTTGCTACTTCTTTATTAGAAGACTCTTTCTTTACTGTGCCATTGCTTACATCAGCTGATGAGGAGAGACAACTTACATTTTAGAACAAGATATTGTTCAAACAATTTTCTTACAGTTTAAAAAAAATTCAGTAAAGTTTACCCACTTCATAAACCAAAGAATATAAATCTGCTTATTTCCAATTAAGCATTAGGATAAAAATATTCAAAGCTACATGTCATTATGCAGATAAGAATTGAAAACAAAAAGAAATGTGTGCACAGGAAATTTGAAAACTATTTATCAAAAAGACACCTCAACCAGAACACTATTTGGCAGTTTATTTCAAAACAATTACCAAAGGCTAGCATTATTCTGAGACACTTCACTTATTTCTTAAAAAAAAAAAAAACCCAACACCTGGTGTTATCACAGACACAGACTCAATCTCACTTGATCTGGAGGTAATTACTAACTTTCCAGGGAAAATAATTATTTCTTTTACTTAGGGGGAAAAAATTTAAAAAAAAAATAAAAATAAAGGAACTCTGGTCTTCCTTCCCTCAGAATAAAGATCCAAAGAACCTGGGCTTCTATACTAGTGGTTAACAAACTCTTTTAAACATTAAAAACAGAACCTCTCAATCGAAGTACAACTGCTTGAGAGAGCCAGAACCCCTGTAAGCAGCTTCCAGCCACCCCTGTAAGCAGCTTCCAGCCACCCCTGAAGCACTCCCAGTGCTAGCACTCTTGAGACCAGTGTGGAAATCACATCAGGAGAATGCATCAGCATCTTGTTTATGTACTCTATCAAAAGATGGGGAATACTTCGGTGGCCTGTCACTTTGGACTACACAATGACTAGGATTAAAATGTTAGAAAGATAAAGAAGCTGGTACAGAAATAATAAATTTAAATTTGGGGACACAGATTTGTTTAATGTAACTGTGGAAGAGCCAGTGAACAGTTTCATAGAAAGGACTGGAGCTCAACTGAGAGACCAGAATCCAAAGAGAAACCCAAAGGGCTAAGGGCTGCAAAAGGGGCAATATCCACACAGAGAGACAGAAGAGAACAGGCAGGGAATTCCCTGGTGGTCCTGTGGTTAGAACTCCATGCTTTCACTGCTGAGGGCCTGGGTTCAATCTCTAGTCGGGGAACTAGGATCCCACAAGTTACGCAGGGCAGCCAAAAACAAAAGACGAGAGAGACAGAGAACATGCAAAACTTTGCTTTTTGTCATTTCATCATTCATCTTTCTTCCCTTTCAATAAAAAAATGACCCTCTCCTACAACACAAAAGTTAGTTTATCTTCAGCATTCACTTATCATGTTTCTTTTTCGTCCCTCCTCTAGTCTGACAATTTCTCAGGCTTCCACACAAGGATGGCCTTGACTTGCAGTCATCTGTCTTTTAAAAATTGTTACACTGGATGTAGATGTTACTGTACTAGATATTACTTGGTCAGCTTCAAATCTACCCTGTTTTGCTCTCTAAACTCTTTCCTCACAATGGCAGAGCAGCAGTCTTTCTCCTCATTAAACCCAGACTTTAATGAAAAGCAGCTTCCACTAACTGCTGATCAGCCATTAGTCTCCCAAGAGCCATTTCAGATCAGATGCTGCCCTGCACCTCAGCTAGGTCAGGGTCATCATGGTCCTGTTCTCCATGACAAAGGTTGGAAATCAGTCCTAAGATAGAGTTAAAATGATTTCTCAATGGGCATCAAGTTGCCAGGTTCCAGTTAGTTCAAGGCGGTAATCTTGAGAGTAAAACTACGCCATAAAGCACAACAGTATGGACTCAAACAGAAAGATTAGATTATCTGATATTTTTTATTACATTTGTCACTGAAGACAATGTTAGTTCTGCATCACTCTACAAACACTCCCTGCCCATTCCTTCAGAATGCCCCCAGTCCTCTACTTCATAAATGCAAGGACATTAGAACTTCCAAGCAATCAATTCTGCTGCAAAATTACATACGGTCTGCATCAGACGTTAAAACGTATCTCCCACAACTGGAAATAAAGCAGTTGTGTGGAAGGAGGAACTCTCTACTCAATATCTATAACCTCATTCCAAGGGCCCAATGGGATGTTACATGTATCCGTACAAATCACCAGGCAGTCAGGCAAATACTATTTAACTCAATGGAGAAAGGAAGGAAAGAATATCCTCCTCAGGAGTTCACATGTTGAGAATTCCTCAGCAGTCCAGTGGGAGAACTCCATGCTTTCACTGCCAAGGGCACAGATTCAATCCCTGGTCTAGGAGTTAAGATCCAGCAAGCCACCCAATTCAGCCAAAAATAAACAAATAAGCAAATTATTTGTTTAAAAAAATTATTTGTTAAATAACTGAGCAATAAATAATAGCCACTCTATAAAGAAAAACTAACTGTAAAATTTACATTCTTTACACACAAATGAATTTCAAAAAAAAGTGATCAAACCATTGTTGAGCTTTTTCTCTTTTAGATCTAAACCTACACTTAAAATATTACATTACCTAGTGGTAATGGTTGCACAAGTCTTGTGAATACACTAAAATCCACTGACTTGTACCCCTTTAGAAGACACAATGGTATGTTAATTACCTCAATAAAGCTATTATTTAAAAAATATTATGAGTGCTCACTTCAAAGAAAATATAGTGAATTATTTTACAATAAAAGTTTATACATTAAAAAAAAATGTACTAAAAACACAACTACCAACAAGCAATGAAGCTAATGACAGGTAAGATCATAAAACTATAGGAATTAAAGGAGCAAAGCATCAGCCCATTACCTAAAGCATGGTCCAGAGACCACCAGTAACAGCAACTCTAAAAAGTTCATTAGAAATGCAGAATCTTGGGCCCCATCCCGGACCTATTGAATCTTATTCTGTTTTTTAACAAGATCCCCAGGTAACGACTTCCCTGGTAGTCCAGTGTTTAATAATCAGGCTGCCAATGCAGGGGACATGGGTTAGATTCCTGGTCTGGGCAGATTCCACATGCCATGGGCAACTAAGCCCATGCGCCACAACTACTGAGCCCACACCCTAGAGTCTGAGAGCCCTACTACTGAAGCCCAAGCACCGTAAAGTGTGTGCTCCGCAACAAGAGAAGCTACTCCAATGAGAAGCCTAAGCACTGCCGCTAGAGAGTAGTCCCTGCTCGCCACTACCAGAGAAAGCCAGTAAGTAACAAAGACAACTCAGCACAGCCAAGATACACAATTTTTTTTAAATAAAAAGATCCCCAGGTGACTCATAGGTATAAAGTTTGAGAAGCAATGATTTAAAGGACTGAGAAAAATGTCAACCAGCTATTCACAATATACAAAACTTGAGATCTCATGGTGTTAATGCAGCCTCTCAATTCCACACATTATCTCAAAGCTTCTAAATGTTTGCTTCCTTGAAGGAGAGTCATGCAGACATCATCTCTTTCATGCTCAGTTCTTTCAAGACCTAAGTAAACCCCTGAAAACACACTGACATATCTTAATAAAGGCAGGAAGTTGATACTACTGAAAACAAAGACTTACTAGCTGCTGTTGCAACTGGCTGAGCAATATTAGCCGGTGGCTTCAGTTTCATGAGTTCATTCAGACTATTATTTTTTAGCAGGTCCTTCAGTTGAACTTGGTCTTTTGAAGGTGCAGAACTTATGGCATTTCGTACTGCTGGTGCTGAGACTGAAGGGCGTGTGTTTGCAGTAGTCTGAATAAACTTCGTTAAAGTGATGGTTTGCCTATTCGTGGTTACAGGTGGTGTCTTAGTCATTACAATTGTAGATCCCAAGGTCGGAAGCTGATTTATCTGATTCAGCACAAACGTTGTAGTAGATGGAGGCTGCTGCTAGAAAACCATATACATCACACCTGTGAAAAATTCTTTACTCTCTAGTGCAATTCATATCAATAAACAGAGGAGGCCATTTAAAAATCTAAAACTGACTTAAGAACCTCAGCTAACCACTGGCACTTCATTTCTAATAATCATTAGCTATAAACTACCTAGTTAAAGGCTTCCCTGGTGGCTCAGTGGTAAAGAATCCACCAGCCAATACAGGAGGTGCTGGTTTGTTCTCTGGGCTGGGAAGATACCCTGGAGAATGAAATGGCAACCCACTGCAGTATTCCTGCCTGGGAAATCCCATGGAGAGGAGTCTGAAAGGCTACAGTCCACGGGGTCGCAAAGAGTCGGACATGACCTAGCAACTAAACAACAAGTTAAAATACACTACTTTAAGGAAAAGAAGGTATAGCGGTAATGCTGAGGGCAGCAAGCATTAATGAGAATATCTTAAGTAAGCTGTGATGTACAGCAACCCTATGTAATACAAGGACTAGGAACATAACTTCTAATCCCAGCACCTCTCCAACTAATAAGATAACCCTAGGCAAATCATTTATGCCTGGATGTGGGCTCTCAGAGGATCATTTTTTATGTCTAAAATTCTATGATTCTTGTAGAGTCTTTTTTGTCTATTGCACAGACTATACTCATGTTTAATTTACTAGGATAAAACCACCAAGCAGAGTTTTAAGTTCCTATGACATATGAAAAATCTACCCAGGTAAATTACAAATATTAGTGATAATGTGGATTCTTCCTTGAGTCTAAGACAAAGCTACATAGCATTTTATTTTCTTTAGTTGGGAATGGGAGTTAGAAGCTGGACAAAAATTTTTTAAAAAGTCAAGATCTGAGGATAACAGTATGTCTGTGACTTCTACAACTAAAGTACAACTAAGATTTTTTTTTCATTTATTTTTATTAGTTGGAGGCTAATTACTTAACAATATTGTAGTGGTTTTTGCCATACATTGACATGAATCAGCCATGGATTTACATGTGTTCCCTATCCCGATCCCAACAACAAAGCTGCTATGCTTAAAGTGACATGAGGAACTCTACATTTAAAGCATAGTAATATCACACAAAAATTTTATGTGCCAATGGACCAAACTAATTAAAATGAAAAATGTAATGGGATAATGTGTAGTTCATCTTTACTTCATGAATTCTTGATCATTTTCAATAAATAAACTAAAAAAGTGCTTTTTTCCTAACTATCTTTTGATCAACATAACAGAAGAGTGAAAGAAATGTTTTATAAAGTAGGTGAGAGTAAAATATTGGGAAAGCAGCAAAAAGTAGAACTAGTGAGATAAACTATTTTATAATAAAGGTTATTTTCTGACCATAATCCTAAACTATTTTCATAGCAACACCAAATCTAAATAATTCTTACCCTAACATTTAAAAGTGCCGGAGTAGGTACCGTCTCTGGTTCTTGTTTAACAGGAACTGCTGCTTCAGTCTCCAAACCTAGTTCTAATGCACTAAGTGGCACTGACTGGAGAGAAAACATCAGAGAAAGAAACAAAGAATGACGGCAGTGAATTCTGTTTCAAGAACAAGAGATGTAGTTATTTTATTAAAAAAAAAAAACAACTAAAACTTCAAGCTTTACATTCAAAATGGAATGTAAAACCACTGATACCAGGTACAAAATAACAATTTTTGGAAGCATAATTATCTTCGTTAAACTACACTAACACCAGAATTTTATTTTTGCTTTCAGAAAATGTGTATTGTGAAACCTCTGAAAAATGTTTGAAATTTCAGAAAAATGTTCCTATAAAGTACAAAGACAAGTATTGAGATTAGTGGTCCTCCACAATAACTCTAAGCAATTCATCTCTTGCTTTTATATCATCATATATCAAAGCAGAAAACGTCTTGATTTGCACTATAAGTATTTTCCACCTTGTGAATGAACACTAACACTCAACATAAAAATAATGTCCACATGCATACTTAAAATTAAGACTTGTTAATACTTATCTCTATAATAGAAAATAAAACTAAGAAAAAATTCATTTTTTGCAGATGCTTTGGAAAACTCTTACCTGCTGTATGGGAGGCGTAGGTGTTGGAGTTGCAAGCCCCGAATCTCCACCATCAATATCAAAGAGGTCATTTGGACTAATTCCACTCTCGCTCAAAGCAGCAAGCAGTAAATCTTGCCCTGGTTCCACCATCTTTAGAACAAAATATTAAATATTAACAAAAAACTTAAAATGACAACTAACACTTTCTAAATATAAACCAATATTTTCTACCAAATCCATTCATTCAATATTTATGAAGAATCTTCTACACAGGAGGCAAAAACAGATGAAAACAGTCTCTTATCCAAACAAATTCACATTAAGATGCAAAGGACAAGGGACTTCCCTGGCCAGTGGCTAAGACTCTGTGCTCCCAGTGCAAGGGGCCCAGGTTCAACCCCTGGTCAGGGAACTAGATCCCACGTACCACAATTAAGAGTTCATTGCCAAATAAATAAATATTTTTAAAAAAGAAAGAAAACCCACACTACGTAATTCAAAAATAAAGTGGATGATTTAAAGAAAAAAAAAAAGGTGGAAAGGACAAAGAAGTATGTAAATCACAGCAAGAGTCTATGTCTACAAAATGCTGTGGGAACAGAGAAGGAAATGGTGAATTAATCTGGAGAGAGAGGTTACAAAGATGACAATGCAAGCAAGTCTCTGGTAAGAAATCGCCAGGCAGACAAGGATCTTCTGATAGCGTACTCAAACCCATGGCAGCACAAAGATATTGGCACTCTAAAAAAGATAGCTACAGTAATTCACCATGTTCACCGTGGGTATGGAAGCTCAGAACAGAAATAGGAGGTTCACAAAGGTGATGGTGAGACAGGAAATTATTGCCTATAGCCTTGTGCACTATGCTAGAGAGCACATTTAATCTTATGAGCAACAGCGGTTACTAAAGGGTTTTCAGATAGAGAACTGCATGATGTAGTCAGATCTGTGGCTTAGAAAAATTACTCCACAGCAGTGTGGAAGCAAACTGAGAATGGGCAGAGTAAGACCAAAGCAGGGAGACATCTTAGGAAACTGCTATAGCAGACCAGGAAAAAGATGATATGGTGTTAACAGCAGGGTACAGAGATAAAGAGGGGAGAATGGATTCCAGGATATTTACGAAGGAGAATCCGTAAGTTTAAATACAAGCTCAAAATGAAAGAACATGAAATACACATAAAGTATAAGTTGGTAGAGGATTAGAGTTAAGCCATGAGAAAATGAGATGGTGGGATCGTTGAGCCCAGAAGACCTAAAGATACATGGAGTTCAGGGGGGCAAATGCCTCTTTCGATTAGCCAGACATATTTTCAGATGGAGTTTCCCAAGCCAGATCAAAGTATTCCACCACTAAGATGGATTTTTATCTATTCTGTAAGGTATAATAAAGTTTAACAGAGCTTTCTCAATTTTAACTTTTCTCATTCATTTATCTGAAATAACCAATTTATATATACAAACATACTTATGGGCAATCTGACCACTTGGTTTTTCTCAGAGAACTAATTTCATGCTACATAAATAATATTATAATTTCAGTTAGTCCACTGGTTTTCAGACTGTGAAATAGAATTAAATGTTTCATTATGTCCTATCAAAAAAAAAAAATGTTAGCCAACAATACCATGACTTCCCAACATACAAGAACTACTCTTTTAGATGAAATCAGGACATTTTAACAGAAAAATTCTCTACTATATAGGTCTATGTCATCTGTACATCATTTAGAAAGATGTTCTAAAGGAAATATGAATGAGTTTCAGGTGGAAACCACATACACTGAGAAACAAACTAAGGGGAGACCTGCTGTTTAAAAAAGAAAGGAGAGTGGGAGAAGGCAAGGGTGGGATGTTCTGAGAGAACAGCATTGAAACAAGTACACTATCAAGGGTGAAACAGATCACCAGCCCAGGTTGGATGCATGAGACAAGTGCTCAGGGCTGGTGCACTGGGAAGACCCAGAGGGAAGGGATGGGGAGGGAGGCAGGAGGGGGGATCGGGATGGGGAACACATGTAAATCCATGGCTGATTCATGTCAATGTATGGCAAAACCCACTAAAGTACTGTACAGTAATTAGTCTCCAACTAATAAAAAATAAATGGGGAAAAAAAAAGGAGAGCCCAAAGATTTCCCCAAAATTTTTCAGAGAAAAGAAAAGAAGTCTAACGAAGAAAGCATTTTGAGCAGGCAGGAGGAAGGGAACTAACAGTGATTAAGTTTCTTTGAGCTTCCTTGAAAGTTCAGTTGATAAAGAATCAGCCTGCAATGCAGGAGGCTCCGGTTCGATTCCTGGGTCGGGAAGACCCCCTGGAGAAGGGATCGGCCACCCACTCCAGTATTCCTGGGCTTCCCTGATGGCTCAGCTGGTAAAGAATCCACCTGCAATGTGGGAGATCTGGGTTCGATCCCTGGGTTGGGAAGCTACCTTGGAGAAAGTAAACATTAACCCTCCAGTATTCTGGCCTGGAGAATTCCATGGACTGTATAGTCCACGGGGTCGCAGAGAGAAAGACACAAATGAGTGACTTTCACTTTTTTCCACAAGCCTTGCAGTGTGTTTAGCTCTTCATGTACATCACTAGTCCATGACAACCCTTAGCAAGATAGGTACTACAATCCTAGACATGAAACTGAGGCTCAAAAAGCTTAAATTACCCACCCAAGGTCACACCTAAATCTAGACTTCTCAAACTGCCAAAGTAATGCCATCTCTTTCCAATCCGTAGATAAAGAAGTCAATGCTCTGTGAAGTTTCAATGCCTAACTTCAGAATAAAAGCCTGTCTGAACTGGAATGGGGAGTGTTAGTATTACACAGCAAGACGGAAGTAGTATGAAAGAACCAGATGACAGGGGAGACAAGGAGGAGAAATGTCCCAACATGGATTTAATATAAAATTGACAAACTTCTAATAAGGAAGTAATACATAATAGTTGGTCATACTTTACAAATTACTATTCTAATACACAGTACACATGTACCAACAGTGCTAAATCAATGCTTAAAAAAATACATTTTCATTCTGTAAAATACTTCACTAGGACCAATGACCTAACTAATTATACTCAAAAGTACACAAACATCATTAAAATTTATTTCAACAAAAAATCATTTACGTGTTACTGAATTCATGAGCTTTTTGAAATATATTTTCTGAACAACTATCATTAAAAGTACAAAAATATTATGGAAGAGAGGAATTTGGGGAACAAACTTGTTGGCATTCACACAATAGATAACAGCAACAGTTATAAGTAACATCATCAGTGATCTCTTCAAAGTTCATAGGAATCACAATTTGAGACCCTGATCTGAGCAGTGACCAAGTAGTGACAACACCATAAGAGATATTGTCTTTCACAAGCTATTAGTGAAAAAGATTTTAATTTTATACACATCTTATACACAAATAAAATCTAGAGCCTTTCTCTCAAGCCAACTGGGCAGAAATTTCCTATTTGTACTTTTTTTTGCAATGAGAAGCGGGGAAGGGGATATAGAGAAAACATCTATGCCAGTGTTTAACTTCATTAAGCAAAAACCCCTAATATTTAATCATATTCCTGTTCTGAAACTATTACAGACTCACAGAATTTCAGTGCTCAAACTAACAGAGCCCCTAAAAGGTTGTATTTTGCAACCTTCTCCACATTTTACAAACAAGTAAGATGTATTCCTGAGAGAGAAAACAACATTTTCATTTTGAAAGTATATAATGTAAACGCAAATACTGTTATGTGCAAAAGAACTGTTACAGTGTGTCTACAAAGACTTCACAGACCTCAGGTGACATTTAACCTAACAAATACTTTGGCCACCTGATGTGACGAATTGATTCATATGAAAAGACCCTGACGCTGGGGCTGGGAAAGACTGAAAGCGGGAGGAGAAGAGGATGAGATGGTTGGATGGCATCACCGACTCAATGGACATGAGTTTGAGTAAACTCTGGGAGTTGGTGATGGACAGGGAGGCCTGGCATGGGGTCACAAACAGTCGGACACGACTGAATGACTGAAATGAACCTAACAAACCTAAAAGTTAATAACCATAGTGATTCTATTTCAAACAATGAACAAAAAGGTTCTATTTTTATCATAAATACTTTCGAAAATATCACCTGTTCAAACAGTACATCTATCAAAGTATCCATGATAAATAACAAATAATAAATAACATGGTATTAAAGAGAAACTAAGAAATATCCTTGACATGAAAAGAATCCTGAGAAACAACAGCCAATCAGAAGAATGTAAGGATACAGTTCCCACCGAGAATACCAACACTGAAACCTATCAACGGACAAGGTTCCTCTTGTTGAGACCAAAGCAGACCTTTATAGCTCTGGGAAGACAGGGATATATCTGCAGTGGCAACAGCACACCACAGAGGTTGAAGTGGGAGTCAAACAGAACACACGGTTTCGAATACTGCTAGTAGTATGAGACAGTTAAGTAATAACCTGACTCAGTTTTCTCATCTTCACATGGGAATAAAAAGAGAATCTACTTTATAGGATTGCTGTGTTGATTAAATGCTATACCACTTGGGATAAATACTAGCTACTAGCTATTAACTATTATACTGATAAACATTACTACAAAGTTAAAAAAAAAATGTTTTTCTTCAAATTGCTGATGCAACACCTTATTTCCAGAATATAAACTTTACCTGTTGGCAACTTAATTCAATAATTAACTTCCATACTAGCTCTATTAAATACTAGCTCTCTTTCACTCAGGTCATACTTTCAATTTGCCAGGTTAACCAGCATATCTAGAGGAAACTGGCAGACATCTTCAAATGTGTACACATAGTATCATTTTTAAGAAGTATCTTAAAAAAAATTATCTTAGGGAGGGGCATACCTATACTTGTGGCTGATTCATGTTGCTATATGGCATTTTGTTTGTTGCTCAGTTGTGTCTCTTTTGTGACCCCATGGATCTATGGCAAAGGCCAACACAATACTGTAAAGCAACTACCCTCCAAAAAAAAAAGCCTCTTTGCCTGAAAAGGATTTTTCTCATTATTTAGTAATGCTAAGCATGTCTGATTTTTGACCCAACTTTTGTTTTTATGCAGCCGGGATGTCCGATGACTGACATTTAGCTTAAGAATCTGAAGGGTAATGATCCACTTTGA